TGCTGACTAGTGATATTTAGCCTTCGTGTAAATGAGAATTCACAACACTTTAATTTTCCAAGATTTCATCTTCTTGAAGTGAGATACCCATAGGCAAAATTTGGGAGGACTTGGAGGAGCTTAACCTCTCCAATATTAAAATTAGCCCCTCCAAAAATGTGTATTTTAATTGAAGTATTAAATCCTTCAATAATTATCAAATTTATGCATAATTCAGTCAATGTTGTTTGAAGAATTTATTTTATAATTTTCTATCCACCCACAGAACATAATATAGTTTTAGTAATATTATTACAAGTTAGTAATTACAATATAAGTACATATTACAAATAATTGATAACATTTAAATGTATTTGGAATATAGTCAATACTAGATACCATTGTGTTTTTTTTTATAAATTTGTAATTTTTATTCGATAGTTACAATTATTATCAATTATAGTATATAAATTAGTAGGTACCCAAATGTTATAATTTGTTTTACTGAAAATATTTTTCATTTTAGTAATAGATAGATGTATTAAAATGTGTATATTAAATGTACAAAAGTAGGTGAGGAAAAAATGATAAATATATTATGTTGTATTATATTACATAAAGTAATGTATTTTAAAGGTATTTGAACAGAGCCAGAGGGCCCATGTATATTTCATTTAAATATGTTAAGTCAAAAACTGAAATTACGCATATGGATGTGATACCCATCACACATGCCCTTACTTTCTGGATTTTGTAACCATTGGTTCTCACTTATTACCTTTTAACTAAGTTCAAGAAGTTTTAAAATAAAAAAATATTTGTCTGGCTTTAAATACTTAATATGTATAAGAAACAGTTGAAAAATAGCCAGGATCTAATGGGGTGGAGTATGAGTTCTTCAACTCTAGTAACAAAATCTGGCACTATGTCTAGAAAAATGCATAGATTTGAATGGTGATGTAAAAAAATAACCATGGTACTTCTGTGTACATTTCATGAAATATATGCACTTTTAGATTTTTAAAAATGTTATAACCTTACTTTTTGTGCAATCCTAGTATATGTTGAGAAATTATCATTTTTGGATAAAATAAATTTTATTATATTACTCTCTATTAAAATAGTTTTCTTTTTTTTCAGCTATATTATTTAGGTTTATTGCACAAACCGCTATTAGAATATGATACTGACTGTGTTAGATTATTAGAAGTATCATATGAAGACCATGGAGACACTTTAGCTTTACAATATGGAGGATCTCAATTAATTCATCGTATAAAAACTTATCGTAAAACTGCCCCTTGGACATCACAAGGCAATGACATTATGCAAACATTGAGTCGTTACTATAGCAATACGTTTTCTGGTTAGAACTTAGTTAAAGTTTGCTTATATTTGAACCTAATTTTTTCACATGTTATATAATTATGTATATTGGCTATGTATAGATACTGAAAAACAAAATGCCATAAATCTATTTTTGGGATTATTTTGTCCAAATGAAAATGAGCCTGCCATTTGGGAACAAAATTTTGATTACTATTTACATCATCCAGAAACAACAACATTTCTCTCTAATGACTGGTTAATAGTGATTGTATTTTATGATTTTATAATTTCTTAAATAATTAAGTATTAAAGGGATGTCATCACGTTGTTGTTTTTTCTCTGGTGACTGACAAATACTCTGGTATTTGTAAAAAATTATTTTTTCGTATGTTGTGAAGTAATCTTAGAGTAAAATCACTCTTTTTAAAAATTATTGAGTATAATATTTTTGAGGATATGACATAAATTTATCTAAATATTGTCTCAAAACAATTTAATACCTATCCATTTAAATTCACAAATTTTATTCTTTATTTTCAAAGTTGCATGTAAAGTCAAATTTATTATTTAATTACTTGATAAATACATAAAATCTTTTGTCAAATCCTTAAAAATATTATCCTCTATAAATTTTGGTCGTATGTAATTTTACTCTAAGAACATCGCAAAAAGAATTTTTTTGATTGCACTTTATTTATGGTGGGTCTAAGAGAAAAAACAAATATGGCGCTGACTTAATTTTAAGTATTTTTTACTGTCTGTAGTAGGGTGGTCCAATCCCAATAATATAATTCAAATTAATTTCATAAATATGATACAATTTATTTTTTCCAGTGTTCCGTTGACAAGATGGTGGGATGAATGTGTAATGGACTGTTTGCCGTTATCTTGTATGGAAAGACAAAAAAAATATTTAGAAATATATCCAGCTCATACATTAAATATTGATGACTACGATAGTTTTAGTCACTTCTATAAAACAGACGAGTTCAGTGTAATGTCTGAAAGTTATGCTTTTGAAATTAGCCATTCTGTGAGGTATAGTTTTTGTAATTCATCAATCGTTACAATTTATGAATGATAATAAACTATTTTTATTTTTATGTTTTATTCAGAGATTTTATGCCAAATTGTGTAACAGATTTCAGTCCATTTTCTATGCGTATTAGACCTGGTAAAAAACGTGAACAAATCTCTGACAAAACTAGAAACCCTTCCATGACGGGCCATAGCTCTACAAATTCAATCAACACTAGTAGCAGGTACCTATATCAATTATAAAAAAATAAAATGTATTCAGTTTCATCGTTACATTATAACTTATAAATTTATATGTTTATTTGCTTAATATTAAATATTATGTCTCTGTTAAGTTGTGGTAGTGGTGAAAGCGATGAAGATATTTCTTTTTCAAAACGTATCGATTCGATGAGTATTACATCAAAAGATAATTCTATCACATTTGATCCTCTACAGACGGAACAGAGTATTTATGGAATTAATTTAGCAGTTACAAAACCAACAGAGATTGCTATTTATAAAAAGTAATTTTATTATTATATAATAATTTTTAATTCACTCTAATAGTTTAACAAAAAAATAAGTATTTGTATAAGTAAATATTATTAAATAATCTTATCTTTTTATTATTTTGATTAGTGATTTACCGTTCTTTGGGAGAATATTTTGATATCTATATTTTAATTATTTTATTTTATGTACAGACAAATTAAATGTATTGTTTTTTTGATGAGGAGCAGGTCTTGAATGATAGTTTCTAATCACAAAATACTTAAACGTTTAACTTACTACTCAAAAAAATGTCTACTTAAGAAAAAATCCAATACTATTTCTTTTGCTTTGTTTTAAATCTAAAACTAGATATATTATCAATTAACACAGAATAAATGTTTGTGCAGATTGCATAAATTTGTTTCAATTATTAAAAATTGATCAAATAATTAAAATATATTATTACAACTTTACAGGTATATACTAATGGCAATAAATCCATCAAGTGTTTTGGTAGTAACTCCAAATAGTCAATCCAAGTACAATAGCTCATTTAGTATTCCTGTTCCAGAAGTCAGTCCAGCAAATATAACTCTATACGAATCATATATTGAAAAAGGTTTGATTGGGGAACCCATTTGTAGCAACAAAATGATTTATCAATATAAAAATTATATTCAATGTAATTAACCCATAATATATTATTATCATCAATACACTATTTTTAATAACAAGTAATAATTAATTGTATGCTACATTTATTGTTCTGTAAACGGTTTTGTAGTGTATAACAATACAAAGCTAAATTATAGTATGTGTAATATAAAAATGTTATGTAGGTATAGTATTCATGGACATAATAATGTATGGTAATTAAGAAGATTCAAGATACTGACCTCCAATGGGTCTTTGGTGTTTGATATTCTATTATATTTGTTATATGTTGAGTATATTAAATTACTTGTTCATACAATTTTGGCTCTATTAAATTTGTGTACTTATATAAACGTATTAAGTTGCCCATAATTATGCAGTTTAATATATAAAACAAATTGCTTGTGTGTAATATAATAAATATTTTATTATTATGATACATACAATCTCAAAAATGATGTTTTTATTTCTTGTTCCTGACATGACAACATTTATATTTAATTATTTATACTACCATTAGTTTTAAAAAGTACCTGCCAATGTATGTTCTTAACTCAATCTAATTTAACCTATTATGATGTAAAATTATCTTTTGGAGGTATTACCCTAATGATTTTCAACTCACCGCTGAATAGTCTACATCATAATTAAGTAAGTAACTTTATTTTTTAATATGTATAAACAAGTATTGAAAATGTCTGTTACAGAAAAAGGAGTACTTATAAACTTCAGTCGTAATCTATATTATAATAATATAATCTAAGACTGTGACGGCATGATTTGGCTATAGACCTATAGGTGTCAGGTATACTATGATTATATAGAAAAATAAACATTTTCCATTAGGTATAACAGTAAATTGTATATACAAAGTAATTTTATTTTTACAATCATTTTATGTTTATTGGATAAGAATATTAAGATAGCAAATAAGGCTAAAGGGTGGATAATTATGCATTTGCATATATTTTTCTTTCAACACCTAGTAATTTTTGCAGAATAAGTAAGATGAACTATATTTACTTTTTAATCTTTAAGGTTTTACAACACAAATGCAAAATGTTTACCTATGTTTCATGTACCCTAGATTGACGTATATTACTTTAAAAAATACACAGATTTATCTTATAATAGAGGATTGTGTTTATTCAATAAATTCAGACTTTTTTTGCTTTGAAAACATTTGCAAAAAAAGTTGTGCAGCGGGCAGCGCAAAACATAAAAAAAGCTCTAAAAATATTGTTTAACATTGTCCAATATTGTTCAGGGAGTAATCTAACAATGTCTAACAAGTTATCTACACATATTTTGGATATATTATTTCATGGTAATTGGTCAATAAGTCCGATTTGATATTTTGATTTATATGTTACTATTTATTTATTTTATTTAAGTACCTAAAAAAATTAATTATGTATAAAAATTATATAAAATTCTCAGATAACTCCTTATAAGTAATACATAGGCAACTAAGTATACTATAGTTATGATTCCCACTTTATCAGTAATTGAATAGTGATAACTGATGAGTACTAAACACGGATTAGTATAATCCGTGGTACTAAATTATTATAGTCTTATAGAGTTTCTTTAATAGTTCCATATCAGAATTTTTATCTTTATTCATCTCTGAAGTTCAGTGTTCACCGGCATTTGATCAGTTTTTTGAATCCTGTTCGACTATTCGTAATTTAGTTCAATTATTTGACTCAAATTTTCAGTTTATATTTTGTTCCCTGTCAAATTCTAATTCGTATTTTCGATAAATTGTATTAAACACATGTCACATAAAGTAATATTAATATGATGTCGTCCAAAAATTTTTTAGATGTCGATGAGTCGATCATTGAAAAAAGCCTTTTAATTCAAGTATTTAATATTTGTACACATACTTGCATGATTAAAATGAATCCAAATGGGTAACGTAATAAATATTATTTTCAGACCAACGAGGAACAAGAATTCGAACACTTTGTGAATGGTTTCCTTAATCCCGAATCAGGCAAATTGGTTAAACCAGCTCCAGGTACTACTCTAATAATTAATTTTTACTATTTCATTTTAAAGTACTTATAATTATTTAAAATTTTAGAAGTTTGATTGAGTATTTTTTAAATCTCGTTTAATTATAGGACTTTGTATAAAATTATTGAAAACTGATAAGTCAAAGGTATTCATAAACCTCTGCCACCATCCAGATATTCCACCTCCAGATGATATTACAAAAGAAGAACTTGAAGAAGTTTTCAATTCTAAGGATCCTGAAAAATTCTGTATTCCCTTAAGTATTGGTATAGAGCACCAAGAAACTGATAAGTGTAAGTGTAAACATTTAATTTTTATAATATTATAACTAAACTTTTGAAGCAGAGCTTACTTGTTAACAAAATGTTTTCAATCCAAAATTAAACACTAATTAGTAATTTGTTTTCTTTATTTGAATATTATTAAAACCGTGCATTAACAAAAAATAAATTTATAATATAATTTTATTTTTTTGTCAATTTTTATTTTATTTATAGTGGGTACCTCTGTTGTACAATTTAATTAAGTTGTAATTATGTATGAATTTATTTAATAATAAATGGAAAAATTATTGTTTCCAATGTGTTTGAATTAAAATATAATTGTAATGGGTACCAGATAGATTAAATATTAAATATTATAACACCGGTGTAGACTAACAACATATTTTGTCGTAAATAGGAAATATGTTTTATTAATGCATTGAATGTTAATTGTTTTTATTTTATTTTTATGTTATAGCTAATGCTCAAGTTAATGTTTACGATGTAGCAGTCAATTCAGAATTTTTCAAAAAGTGTCAAAATGATGATGTGTTTCAAACATTCATTGTTTGTGCGTCGATAGAGGGAGTTGCTGAAAAGTTCAAAATCGATATAAGCTCAGAAAGTATTTATTAGCTTTCATTATCTAATATTTATAAAGCTTACCATCTTATGGAGTCTCTCTTCTTTGTTATTTTTATTCTTAAACCCCTATGAAGTATCATGTGAGTTCCCGATTGATCAATTTGATCGAATCATTAATTAATTAATTAATCAAATTAATCAATCTTTTTGAAAACCTAATTACGTCTTCTGTATGTACTAATTTTGATATTATTTTGAAATATAATTTACTAATTAATTACAAGGTGATATACAACCAAACATTTATCAGGTGAGGTGTGTATGAAAGTAGTGAGGATCAGAGTTCCTTTAAGTGATAATCTTGTTCTTATTTATCTGAAATTACATATGTTTTTGATTTGGTTGTTATTATGTTATGCTGTAGATCCAATTTTGTTGAAGAATAGGAAATGTTTGGGATCTTTGCAGCAGCACAGAATTCAACAACGACCTCCTAGGCCATCAACATTTAAAAAAAAACCTCTGATTCAAGAATTAAATTCAAAAGCAACACTTTCTCAGTTAGACATACATGTCAAACCTGAGTATAAGATGTATGTACAACCAGAAGATAATCCAAAAAATATCATTTTAGATGTCTGTATGCCAGATGTGGTAATTTTATAAAAATTAACATTACAAACATCTAACATGAATGCTTTGAATTATTATTTTTATTTTTATTTTATAGCATACTTCACAAGAAATTGATTTAAAATGTGGCGAAGACTGTCTACTGTTAACTACAAACAAACAAACAAAATATGAGTTGGATATTTTTTTACCATATACAATAAATCAAAATGATGTCAATGTAACATTTAATACTATGACTAAAGTAAGTAATTTACATTTATAATAACTTTTATCATTAACTACATTTCATTTTTCTTTATCGTTATTTATTTGTAAGGAACTAATTAATAAGTTTTTATTTAATTGTTTAATGGATATGTTTAAAAATATAATTAAGTATTTATTTTTCAGATTTTATCAGTTATGTCAACCATTATTCCCAGCAATTGATTTTCTTATATAAAGTATTATAATACTTTTCAATTTTGTGTTTCTATAAATTGATGTATTTTTTTTTTGCACTACAAATTATTCTAGTTTATGTACATTTAAAGAATAACTAAAGATCCTTGTATTGAATAAATAAAAAAAAATATAAGATTATTTTATAATTTTAGTTTTGTTTTTTAATCGACTAATAAATTATTATGTAATTTATTATTATATCATACCTACATGCAATTACATAAAATAAATACTTTTATAGGATAATTTAAATATTAATTATTTTCATTATAAACATAATATTATTTTCAGGATGTCTACTACATTATCGAGAGAATGTCAAACCCTTAGAAATATTATTCTCTACAATGTTTGCAATAGGTGAAGTGATTTTTCTCTAATATTGCTCAAAAATAGTAAAATGATGTGACGTGAATGCGTTTTGATATGTATGATATTTTGTGTATGTGTAAATTGTATTGAAAAATCTCTTATACTCATTTTGAATCAAAACTATTATACAAGGATTTAAAAAAAATTACTTACCTAACAATAAAATCAAGTAAAATTTGTGACTTTTTTAACTCAGCATGGTTTATTTAAGATATTACCAACTGGTTTCTATAAAGTTTTTGATTTTTTAATTTTATTTTGTTAAATATTGTTGAGCTCTCAAAGTAGGTGTGTCTTGAGCTTGCACCTAGACACTTCTTAACTCATTTTCTGCAGTGCTGGCTATTGTTAACTAATGTAAGTAAAACAAGCATTTTATTGTGAATTACTATACATTCACAATTTGCAAATTCTTCATCAGTAAAATTATTTTTTAAATGATAAGATTTTCTGAATAATCTATAATTTAAATAGCTTTAGGAGAAGCTGAAGAAAAATTTCCTACACCCATAGATAACTGAAGAAAATTCAAATGCTTTATACTTTTATAGTGAGGCACTGAGGCGACTAATTTAAACATCCATATTTCTCTGAATGTCGTCTTTCACTAAACGGCTTACATCACCCTCTTACCAAAACTATTCACTCTACTGATGCTATAGATTGGAAAAAGAGGAAAAAGATTTTGTGAAAATCAATATTAAGATTTTATCTATTTGTCCCCAGTGATATTTTAATTCGAAATAATATAACCAAAACATAAATTTATTTTTTAATTATGTACAGTAATTCATATAATATGGTTTTTGAATGACCCCAGTGCACATTTTTCTTAAAAGCTTGATAGTTTTTATAAATTATAATACAATTGAATACATAAAGTTGCAACATTTGAAACAAATACAACTAATTCAAAATAAAATATAAAAATATTCTTTATTTTATTTTTAAGATGCATATTTTAGACATTCAAATGCATATTTTATGACTTTTTATGGCTACAAGTCCTCTGCCCCTGTTGGTAACTATTATAGAAACTTCGGAACAATAATCGAATTGGTATTTCATACAAGTAAAAGGGCTGAATCCTTGTTATTTGTATCCAAATAAATACTCGTATAAAAAATATAGATACCTATGACTATGAGAGAATACCTAACCTAAAATAAATGTTGGAAAAATCTGTCAAATTACTATACATAAGTAAAAAAAAAAACATTTTACATAATTTTAAAGTTATATTTATGTGGCTTTATGAATCAAAACAAGTTCCACCGAAATATGGGGATGCGGTTACATACAGTTAATCTTACTACATTATTTATATCGTTCAAGCACATAACGATGCGGTGGAGACTTGAACATTTTAATGCTTTTACACTACGACTGGCCATAGCCACACGCAGAAATTATCACTTGCCCTACGCACTCAACTGCTCGTATTCAACTGTTTAAAATCTGTCCGACTACTCCGATTGTCCATTTACAATCCCCAACTAAATTTCAGCTTAAAAATTTGACACCCGTAATAGATATTCGTAGAGGGTATTTATGTTTTAAAAATATACATTTATTACCACGAGATTCACAACTGAAGTGTGTACAGAAGTAATTACACTTCGGGTATGGAACTATGGAAACATAGAGGGAGATTTTCGGGGACCTATGACTCTATGACCTATACTAGTCAGTGAGTAGTGGCTCAATGAATCAAGATTTTCAAGAAGAAAAATTCGATACGTGTCGATACATACCACCTCGTATCGAAGTCCGAGTCCGATACGGGTCGGTACGTATCGCTTGTATACTGCACGTCGTGTAACATCTTGAACGCTCAAAATTGCCTCGATACGTATCGATACACTCCAAATTCTTCCTTGAAAATCTTGAATGGTAGTGCGGGCTAGTCATGGGAAAACTAAAATTAAATTTATTCTGTGGTATAAGGATGTCTATGGCGGTAGTGCGGTAAGATCATGGTTATCTACTCTAGATAACCGCAGGTAAGATAATATAATATAGATTCTATATACTTTGTCGTCAAGTATGCCTACATCGCTGCTAGATGTTTGCACACCGCTAGTAATGCCTTTGTTAATGTATTGTTATACACATTACACATTTACACAGTTCTTGTCTACTATACCTAACCTTTTTTTATAGTATATGAGCAATAATGTCTATTATGGTGCTCAAGTAATTTCATGAACCACCATAATCAAAAATATCTCGTTTTACTTATGTAAATGATTAAGTTCAATATTACGTGTGATGGCATAATAGTATTATTATACAGGTAAGAAGAACTATTTAGTAGGTATTTATAAAATTGAGCTTATCTAAATCCTACTTCTACTTCTACAAGGGGTAGGTACCTAGTACCTATTAATTATTATGATTTATCAATTATAATTTCTATCCAAACAAATTGTAGTGTATAAAATAATCAGAAAAATGATTTATACATACTTCTAATATTATATCAATTTATACAATAATGTATAATGTTATGTTAAAATCTCATTCAAATTAAAAAAATATGCTGAATGTGGATTGTAGGTATGTGCCAATGCGCCGTAGATCATTTATGGAACAATATAATAATAATGATTATCCAATTAAATAATTGACGAAATAAAAAAAAAACCAAAACATATTTTGTAAAATAATATAAATGTATTTTTTTCTTAACATATTTTTTTTTTACTATGTATAATAGCTTAAGTTTTGCTTATAATATATATATTTATATATATCAAGCTTTGTATAATATCCATCACACGTTTATCAGTAATACTTAATTATACTTAATATTTTATACTGGGTATCTGTACATTTATAATTTGTACATAAATATATTACACATTTACCTATATTATATTGATGTAAAAATATTTTTTTTTTAAATAATTTACACGATTTAATTATCATTTTTTTTTTGTTTTGTTATGGAATGTTTTTTATGTTGTTTGCGAACGGTTGTGGGTCTGATTGGGCTTCGCTGTTACTTCTCGTTAATCGTTCCATCGATGCGTTCGAAGCCTTTGTGTCTTCTCTCTCGTCATTTTCACTAGCCCCTTGCAGTGCTCGATATTTCTTTGCAATGGAATCCCAGTCTGTGACGGTTTCGATGCGGTTCGACAAGCTCGCAAAACTTATCTGAGATCCGTAAGGACTCAAATGTACGACACTGACCGATATCGATTCTACGCGGCACGTTTAAGTTTAATCAAAATTAGAATATAATATTATCCACCCTATTATTTTTCATAGTACCAATGAAATCGTTTTATCTTACCTCTCGGAACTACTTGAGCTTTTTTCACCTTTGATAGCCATTTATTGCCCATTCGAGTCCTGGCACTTACTCGTCCTTTTGTTTTCATATCGACCATCTGTGATAAACTTGGGCGCTTTTTTTGCTTAACTGTATTTAACAGTTTAGAAAAATTCGTAAGTGTATCCTGAATATTTTTCTTTCGCGTATTTTTACCTCTTTTCTTGCATATCTCTAGTAAATACATGAACCAAGTAGTAATTAAGTTCAAAGGCGATGGCGTTGTAGTTGTTCTATGCATATTTCTAATCAATTTTGCCAATCCAAACTTCCATTCGATGTCAGATTGTGCCTATAATTATTTAATATGTGTATTTTATCATACCATATTGTGCACATAGTGCCTTCAACAGGTTATTTATATAATACATTTTATTTTTATTTTTTTTTAGCTTACTGTATCTACCGGGTTAAATTTACCTGAATTCTTTGATAAGTATCACTCATCATAGCGATAAGTAAGTTAATTAGTACGACAACTGAAACTAACATATATATACCAAAGACAGCTTTAAATAAGTAAACCGTCCACGGTGGTTGATCCGTGTTAGAAGCCTGTCTCAGGTCGTTATGTGTTGCCATACCAAATACAGCGAAAAAAAGTAATTCAAATGCATCTACTGGGCTCATTATGACTAAACAAAAACAAAAAATCAATTAAATGGTGCATAATATATTTTTTTTTAACTTGTTAGGTTTGTCTATTCGTATGGTATTACCTTCTGTAAAAACTTCTGGTTTATTTTTTTCTAATTTCTTAGTGATAGGATGGTTCATTGCAACAATTTGCATAGAAAACCCAAACACGAAGATGCTCAGTACAACGAGAAACCTTGCTAAATCCTTCATCAAATCTCCAATTATTATGGCCCATGGTCCAAACAGATGATGGAATGACAGGAAGTCCAGAATCTGAACGCACGCCATCAAAAATGATATAGCAAACATTTGATTCCGAAGATACATAACAGTAGGAAGATATGGGTTGGAAACGAGGCCACAGAATCCGACTAAATGAAATGCTACTCCTATCACACTCCATAAGAGAACAGCCAACTTCACCCAACCCAATCCACTTTTGTCACTTGGATTAGTTAGTTCAAACAGTAGCAAACCACTTAACCAAACCTAATAAATTTATAGGCACGTAAAAATGTTTGTACATTTTATAACTTTGTTAACGACGACTTACCAAGAGCAACCATTCGTACCAATATGGAAATAAATTTTGCCGCGCTGCTTTATAATACGGTGTGATGGCAACCATTTGTAATAGAAGCATCAAGTAAACATGAGACGTCAAGTATGACATAAACTTTATAATTGGAACTTTACTATAATTGTGCCAAAGAGGTAACGTAAACACTATCCATAATGGAGGACAAGCAATAAATCCTAGAAACATAAGTAGTGTTTTCCAACCGGCCCAATTCAGTCTTCCTTGCCAAAGTTCCTAAATTTCAACGTACGTTAAATTTAAACACATGTCAACTGATACACTTATATATTATTAACTATTAATGACTAACCTGTAGGTACCTTTGAACAACAGTATGAGCGATAACTTCTTTTTGCTCATTTTCAATAAGAACGTCTAAAAATTCAGTATTTCGTCTGTCTGAAGCTGTTAGGATGCGACCAGCGGAGTCTTGACCAGCAGCTAAGGCTAAAAGTTCAGTTGCCATAGTTTCGCATTGTTTCCCCGCAGCTATTAAGTCTTTTGCTCTCTCTTTTTCCTAGTTATCATACGATATTAGTTAATACTACACATTACATAAAAATATATTTTTAATAATCTGTCTTGATAGAATACCTATATTAGTATAGTATTTAGATAGGTGATTCATTTTACAAATATGATTTCTAACTAAAGTAAAAAAATACTTTAGGGTGAGTTAAATATTTTAACCAACACGAGCAATTGACATTACAATATAGTTATGAATTATATACCAGTGCTTCCAAAACATATTTTTCTCACTGTAGGTACATAATTATTTGCTACTTTTAGATACCTACTAATAGTTGCAGCGTACTTTGGATAAATATTTTGTACTCCATTAGAATAAGTATTTTTTAGGTCATTAAAGAACAATTAATACTCTGTTGAAGCGAGCATTACACTATTCACTATAAAAATATATTGCAGCACAAATCTGTATGACTGTATTCATAAATAGTTATATACTTATATCTCGAGTTGTATCTATATACTTTTTATATTGAAAACATTTTAATAAATAATAGATGATTTTTATTTTTTATAAATAAAAAAATCAAATTTCCATGCAATCGCTTTGCGTAAAAATATATAAGCATGACGTAAAAATAATTTTCACTCAGAGTAAATTAATTTAGGTAAGTACCAATATATTTTCCATTACCTATTTAACTAGTTATTAATTTTTTTATTATTATAATATGTAGGTATGTTAGGCTTAATATAGTCTAAATGCATTTTATCGTAAATTACGAGTACATAAATTATAGTAATAAAATCTGTAACCATTGTTTATGTTTACCTTATTTGATAAGTTAATGTATATACTGGAAAGTTTTGCTGCAGTATCTACTGGCGCGGGTGATACTAAAATAAATTCTTCGATTGGTTTGTTATTATGATTTTTGCTACAAATCATTAGATTGTAGACAAACTAAAATGAAAAAAAAATGCTTGATATTTATTAATTTGTTTTTACGGAGTCGTTTGTGTAAACGATTTCGGTTTTTTGTACCCTTCTATCATCCATCAAACCATAAGTGTCGTGTTCTTTTGTCATTAAGTACTCTAATACATCATTATGACCCTCTTGAGCTGCAAACCATATCGGTGAGGCTCCATAGTTGGTTTCAGCTTTTGGAGAGGCGCCGGATTCGACTAAGAGTTTTACCACGTCTAAATACCCAGCACGAGCAGCGCAGTGCATTGCCGTCCACCCATTCTATAAATTGTATATTATTTGAAATGAAAACATGGAAATAATCGAATGCAGTTTTTTTTTAAACACAAACTTTATCTGTGGCGTTAATTTCGGCACCCTGTCCTAGCAAGACTTCAACCATTGCATAATGGCCATATGAGGCGGCAATATGCAGACACGTTTTACCATTAAGATCAGAACTGTGCAATAAATCTGCTGCTCTTGATAACAGAAGTCCAACTACAGTTACATGCCCGCCAAAACACGCCAAATGAAGTGCGTTGTAACCCTAAAAGTATGTAAGTAAATTTTAATTATTTTATACCTAGGTATGCACTATGGATAGAAATTATATTATAGTAACCCATATAATTAATTACAAACTTACAGATTCAACTGTAGATGCGTCGACTTGAACTCCAGCCGAATTGAGCAATAATCGGACAACGTTTTCATTACCACTGTAAGCAGCAAAATGTAACGGTGTCATTCCAGATTCGTTACCCAGTACACCCAATACACTGACACCAGACGGTGGATCAGACTTGACTGTTGCTGGTATATGAGACAGTAATTCTCGAACAGTATCTAAAATTAACAATAACATAATATAGTATAACGATTGTTGTGTTTTGTTCACATTTATTACTGTACAATTTTTCTCTTATATGGTACTTACCTGTTTGACCACAGTATGCTGCCATATGAAGCGCTGTCATACCAAGCCTTTTGCTTGAAATTTTTAGCGATTGGGACGAACGCAATACTTCCAGCACAGATAAATGACCATTTTGTGCTGCTAAGTGGACAGCTGTAAATCCTGCCTGGAACATTGAATTAATGAATTTTATAACACGTAATTTATAAGAGAAAAAAGTGTCTTTAATTCATAGTTAAGTCACCTTATTTTCGTCCGAACACGATGCTCCTGCCCTTACTAAAACCTTAACCACTTGGGCATGACCACCTTCAGCTGCTAATTGAAGTGGGGTAGCCTCTGTGATACGATTTCTAGCTGAGATCACCCCGTTTTTGTCGAATTTCATTAGTTCAATGATCACAGTAACTGAACCTTGCATGGCTGCTATGTGAGCGCATGTATTTCCATCCTAACAAAAACAATGTAATTAATTGTAAATTCAACTATGGTGTACGGTAATGATATTTACTTTAGTGCTAGCCAAAACTAATTGTGGATGTTGTTGCAAAAATAGGTGAACAACTTCTGGAAAATTGTTCTGTGCTGCAATATGAATGGGTTTTTGTCCTTGATCGTCCGTCGCATCTATATTCGCGCCCAAATCTAATAGTAATCGACATACTTCTAGTTGTCCCGCTGACGCAGCTAAATGCAGAGGTGTTTGTTTTCTCAGTGTAAGAATATCGATTACAGCGTTATGGTCGTGAATCAAAAACCTTTGGAAAAAAAATCAGCTTAAGCTATTACAAGTAAGTTCTATTTAATTTAAAAAAATATATCTATAGTTAACCTGCAGAGATCAGCGAAACCGTTCATAGCCGCTAAATGTAGTGCAGTCCAACCAACTCTTGATTTACTGTTTATGAACGCTTTATGTGTTAGTAGAGCATCACATACCTATAAAATGAACATATGTATTGCTAATAAATAATAATAATATATAGATAGGAATTAGTTGTTGTTGATTTCCATACTTTCAGGTATCCCCTTTCGGCAGCCAGATGAAGAGCAGATCGACCTTCGTTGTCGAACACGTCTACTCTTGCATGGTTGTTTAACATGGTGTTCACCAAACTCATATGACCCCTGTGACAAGCGATCAACAAAGGGGTCCAACCGACGCTGGATTGACGGTTCATCGATTGTTGTATCTCGGTTGGTGACATACCATCCAGCATTGCTGTAAGTACATCGTTGTTACCAGCTACAGCACAAAAGTGTAAAGCTGTTTCGTGGTGCTAAAATAATACATAATCTATGTTATAGTGATATGTGTAATAATAACACGATTTTTCCTAAAAAATTCTATGATTTTTTTTGTTTTGTTTTCTAACAGGATTAATTATTATAGATTATTATGGTTATTAAAAACAATTAAAAACACCAATCGTTAATGCATTGGTAAATTATTCTATATAAATATATTGTATACATTTTAATCATAAATTAATGTCTGAAGAGCCCGTTCGTGTGTCTTTAATAAGAAGCAAAAATGGGTGTATAGTGTACCTACACATGATTTTGAAAGGGTTTTGATTTTTTGAATAGGCAATTTATGTACATTTTTAAGAAAAATAACAATTTAACTTTTAGAATGCGTTCACAAAGTAATTTACATTTGGCCTCGTGTCAGTGCTACTGCTATTGATTGTTGTGTTGTTATTAAATAATTTACAAATGCTTTTTTGCCCTTCCCAGTTAACAACAAAATGTAATAAATACATATTATAAAATAGAAGCCTTTTCTTAGTATCTACGCACATATCTCAAAAAATACTCACCCGATTTTCTTAAAGTTTTCACTAAAGAATTTACCGAGTCTAAGGAAAGTTTTAATGTATAATACGTCCTAGAAAAATTAATGGGATTGCCAGAAATAATAAAAATATAAATAATGATCTGTCCATCCATATAAATAAAAATGAAATGCTGTTTTGTTGGTAATCGCATCATTTATAAACGCTGGATTGATTTGGCTAATTTTTTTCAATGTTCTCAGTAGTTTGAATAAAGTTTTTACGGAGATAATGGAAATACAAGTATTGGAAAAATTGGAAAATTCGTAAAAATTGAAAGTGCTTTTTTGACTGACTGATCAACGTAGAACCTAAACTATGAAACTTGGAGACTTGAATTGTTCATAATGTAATTAATCATTATGTAAGGGGTGCACTAAAAAAGGATTTTAGAAAATTGTAATTTTAAATAAGTTCTCACACAGGATGAATTTTTTTTGTATCTAAATGTTTAGGTACTATAGTTACTAGTTAGATATAGTGTAATCCTCACATGCATTTTCTTTCAGTTAACAAAAAAAGAATATTTTTTTGTTTAAATAAATGGTTATACAGTAGAACCTCATTAATCTGGACAATTGGGGCTCTAGGTTGTCCGAATTAATGAAAGTCCGGATTAAACAAAATAACTAAGAATCGTAAATTATAAATTCAAAAAAATTGTATTGGGTATTTTACTATATATACAATACTTTAGTCTAATACATAAATCTAACAATATTAAACATAAAAATTGTACATAATTGTATAATTGAACTCGTTTTCATGTTTATTTTATTCTACGTCATAAACTAGACTTCTAGAGTGATAAACGGCTGTCCGGATTAAGCGGAGTCCGGACAATAAGGTCCGTATCAATGAGTTTAATGAGTTTTACTGTACATCTGAATTATTACAAATTATTTTATTTTATTCATAACATAAAAACGTTATAATATTGCAGATGTTATTTTATTTTGGCGTTGGAGGTTTTTACGTATTGTCATATTATATTCAAACTAACGCATGTATTATTATGACTATTTACCACGATCATATTATAAATTATAATAGATTAAACTTATTGACGATCACTTCAAAAATATCCCTATTTACGTGTTTTATTTAAAGTACTCTCTTGGTAGTAGTATAGTTTGTACATTTAAATCCAAATTGTTATGTAAAAAGCCAGCTAATATAAAAGTAAAGTAAACAGTTCAATATTGTGTTACAGACAGTTAATCGTTTAGTACTTTAAGGTAATATGCACGTAGACGTATTTAGTATAATGTTACATTGTTACTTAGTAAATTGTACAATTACCATTAACTATTTATATAAATAGCATAAGTAGGTAACATGTTACTGAATAAATTTAAATAAATCAATATTCGAATGAATTACTGATACTTTCTTTAATTTGACAGTGTCATTTGCGAACTAACAAAATATAATATTATACGAACAAATATAATATTTAAGTGTAATAAACACGTCAAATTGAACCTTACCAGTTTCGTCCGTAAATTGATGTCGGCTCCTCCTTCAAAAAGTAATTTTATAACTTTAGCGTCGTTGTTCGGTTTTGACACATTAACTTCTGTTTGTTTTATATTGGCAGCATAGTGCAGCGCGGACGCGCCGTCTTCGTTCACACTGTTTACGTAAGAATTGGCTACCTCATCACCTTGTTTCGACTTCACGAAATCAACGAGTTGTCCAACAATATCGGCTTGACAACTTCTGCAAGCCAAGTGCAACGGGGTTTCTCCCACCTATAATATTCCACGTAAAATGCAATAAGTTGGATTAGAGAAAAATAATTAATGTCAAATATTTTTATTTTGTTTCATCGGTTGCTGCCATAACAGCCATATAGATATTTTTTTATAATGGCCGTGGGTATAATATTATAAAGTACTTTGTTCTTGAAAAGAGGATCGCCTCCGTCGTCTAGTAATAACTGAAGTGTTATGAGATTTCCGTACTGAGCTGCCACGTGGACGGGTGTTTGTCCGTCGTCCATAGCCAGATTGGGACCGGCCCCAGACTTGAGCAGCATTAAAGCACAGCGGTCGCCGTCTTTCACTCTAGCGGCTATGTGCAAGGGAGTTTCCCGCAGTTTCCCGCCTGTAAAAAAACATTATTTAATCTGTAATTTAGTACCTGAAAATGAAAACTTCCTCTACTCTATCTATATCCATTGCCCATAATATACTATGACAAAGGTACAATGAGTATACCTATAACACTAACCTCTTACATGGACATCGGCTCCGTATCCCAATAACGTTTCGATCACTGCCGGCTTGACGGATTCGACCGCTATGTGCAGAGGAGTATAGTTGTCCTAAAATTAAACACCATAATACTATACTATTATGACTTGTTAGCTTAGAGGATGTTTTCATCAGTGGCGTACACGGGATTGAATTTTAGAGTGGGTGGATGGGTGGGTTTATAAATCCAAGTCAGAATTCCCTACAGTATAATTAATAATAGTAATTCTACACATAGACACTTTTATTTTCGGCTGGAGCTTGAATCTCTGACTCCCCCTTCCCCTATGTATGGCATTGATTATTATGACATGGTCTGTAATCGGCACGTACGTTGGTTGTGACGTCGACTTTTTCTCCTTTCTGTAACAATGTGTTGATGATTCCGACGTGCCCGTATCTTGCTGCGGTGTGTATGCTCCGGGCACCACTCTTGTTCGGCATGTGCAAATAAACACCCTTTTTGAACAACATCATAGCACAGTCCGCGTGGCCATTTAAAGACGCTATATGCATCAGAGTGCTGCCGTCCTTCGTTCTTTCGTATATGGAAGCCTTGAACTTGTCAACCAACAGCTCTATAATATTTGCATGGCCGTTTTCAGCAGCCAAATGCATCGGGGTTCGGTCTGTGAACGAAGAAAAATCAAAACAAATATTAAAACGATTCACATGCAGTTGCAGGTATGATTATACGAGGATATCCAATCAACGGACGAGCGTTGACGTAAGCAAATATTATCCATTTTTATTCGAATAAGGAGTAAATTACAAAATAGTATTATGATATAATATATTAAGTAGGTAATAATAATATAATATACAAAGTAATGTATGTATACCTTGATTATCTGTTATAGAAGCACTAGCTCGTACGCCGTAAAAATATTTAACCAAACTTTCGTCTCCGTCGGCCGAAGCTATATGAAGAGCCGTCTGGCCTTGGCCCTATATTTTCAGAATGGATGATTGGTAAGTATACAAAGGTATATTTTATAGATATTATAGAAACAGTCAAACGACATACGAAATGTTAACTGATACCTACGTTTTGACTGTCTACGCTAGCACCGTAGTCAATTAGTATTTTTATCATGTCTATGTCTTTTCGTTTGGCAGCTAAATGAATGGCCATGTCACCGGACTTAGTCTTAAACTTTAGCTGTTCCACTGCTTGAGTTGACAGCAGTTCCCGGCACATCGACTGGTTACCAGTTTCTACGGCCAATAGCAGCGGTATTTTACCGTCCTAAATACAGAGAGCAGAAAATAGTTGCCGACCATTATATTAATAATTATTATTGTGTTTCAAATAATAAGTCAAAAAATAATAAATGATATTGGAATTATTACCCCGTCGGCAATGGTACGAATGTCTTTACCGCAAGACCCCAAGAGCACTCGGAGTATGCTCGTCGCCGTACCCGTCTGCCTACTCGCCACCATGTGCACGGCCGTTTGCTGTTTTGGCTTTAAACGCAAATTTTCGGTGAGTTAAAATTCTTAACCAATATATTATTTTAATGCAGTATTATAGTGTCATAAAAATCAAATAACATACACCTCCTGGAGAGTAAACGTCCACCCCTTTTTTCGGCAATAACACTTTTATTACGTCTTCTCTTGAGTATGTTGCGGCCAAATGCAATGCATTAAAATTTTCCTGAAAATTGTATACATATGAACTGTTATCTAATTAATAGCAAAATACTCTCAAATAGGGGCGTAGTTTTCTGTATGTATATTAACGCAAGTCATATTAAATTTATGGAAGACAAACGATCGAGTATTTTCGCGTGACCGGAATATATTTAAAAAAATACTATCTACACAACAGTCTTAATAAATTTGCAACCTGACGATAAGTTTTGTGTTATGGGTAATAAGTAATAACTCTTTTTCATGAGTCATCCGTTAAGTTTTAGTAGGTCGTACATAAAAACAGTTTTCAGATTATGGTGATAAATACGTTCACAGCAACAAAATAGGTAAATAATGATTTTATAATATGGCAAGTGCTTACCATATTTCTGATTGTAACATCAGTTCCGAGGTCTACCAAACGTTCTAGGAATGTGGTTTTGCTTTCTTTGACTGCGTACATTAAGGGCGTCATTCCATTGCTCTGTATACATAATATAAGATTACACAAAATGGCTCAACGTCGAGAAAATTTTTTTATTGTATTTATAATATTATATTACATATTTTAATATTTATTACATATTGTTTCGTTTAAATAATTAATTTTAAACTAAATCATTAATTCATTAGGTAATTCAATAATTTATTGATGAGTCGTACACATCAATAAGAATTTGCTGCACCGTGCACACTATATATACTTTACTTAATATTATAAAATAAAGTCTCTATAATAGAGGCTCTACTAATATACAATATTATGTAGTTGACTATTTGTAAAATTTATATTTCGTCCAAAGATAAAGTAGATACAATAGGTAGGTAGGTAAGTATAGGTACACTATTATACTTTTGATGCATTTGCATGAACCAAAATTGTATTATAAATAATGATATATATGTTTTGTGTATTATTAGTTTGTAGCATAATTTTTATTTAATGTTTTATTTTCAAACGGGTTTGTTAATATTGTCTTGAAATCAGAAAAATGATTGACTTGATTTTTTATTAACGGGTGGCTGAATACGTTATATTTTTAAATATACCTACAAAATATTAATACATTTCTATAATATAGCTTACATAAAATGTATTAGGTACCTATCATGTATGTGTTATAATTGTTCGAATTTCGTCGCTTTGAGGTCAAATCATTTTTCCTTGTTAACTTTGTTTAGCCCAATTTAGACAATTTACTTTAATCATGTAATGTATGTGTTAAGTTCAAGTTGTGGCCTTTAGGGTAAATCGCGTGTCGACGGACCATGACGCTTTTCCGGTTGTGCTAGTTTTCCAACGTCCACGCGTATTTTGGAATGGACATCAACCCCTGGTTTTTTTCAACCATAAAAAATATATTTACGCATCATGTGTACAATTAAAATTTTATTATTCCAATAAAGCATAGAAAAAATAAAATAACTATACCTGATCCACTACACCGGCTAATGGTGTTGACGTCACATCCTCCCCCCCGGCCGCCACTAATTTTTCGACCACCTTTAGGGCCTGATCTAATGGTGGCCATTCTGACTTTTGGCATAACTGTAAAATTCGTTGTGCTCCATCTCTAATGGACGAACCTGGACTAGGTAGAGTCGTTGGTGGAACTCCATCTGAAAAAACATCAACTATTGAATAAAATAAAATAAATAATATAATAATCTATAATCTAGTCTGAATTATTAATCATTTTTAATTTTTTGAGAATGTAAAGTCATATGTGCATTTTTAGTACCTATCTATTATGGATTGCTAAGATATTATTTATTTTATTACGCATTCATCATGAGTTATGATAGTTTCTTATGTTATACATACTATAGTTGTCCAAATAAAATAGCTATTGTTTTTAAAATATTTCCTTATAATTTATATATAAAAATATCAAATATGATACATAAATATATAACTATATACATTTATCTGTATATATATTAATTAACATTTAACATCCAGTAATAATATTTAAATTGCTTCTCATATTCCGCTTACTTTACCAATAATTAAAGAATATCTAGTTAATTTTTATAACAAAGGTGAGTCGTTAGTTTTGAAATTAATTTATTTGTAGAGAGGTTTATTTAATTTGAACTCTAGGTATTTATAATAAATTGTTGAATTATTTATCTCAACTAAACCTCCATTTCAAATTAATTATAACACGTCACGTAATATTCCACAAGCTGTAATGGGATATGGCATAATATAGATAATATAGGTAAAAGTCAGTGATTATTATTTATCTCTAAACAATTTTTGATTTTCAAAATTATGAAAATGTCCTAACATGTTATACGTTTTTATTTAAGCACATTTGTTTTAAGCTTTTCCTACGTTTTTCAATTTATTAAAATTAAAAATTAAATTTTTATTTTTAAATGGTAAATGTAGTTCTATGGTTGATGTTCAAATTTAAAATAGAAATTAATTTTGATGGAATTATTGATTCTCGCCAAACGTATAGACAGCCTTGGATAAAATATTTTTAAAAAGTATTTGGAATAAATACTCGAATACTTCAGAAAAATAGTATTTCGAATAAAGTATTTCAAACACTTTTGAAATGCTTAAACCACCTTTTGAAATGCTTATACTTTTCTTCTAGAAAATTTGAAATTAACGCCAGCATATTGTATAATTTAATAATTCTGAATATAATATAATTTTAATTTTAGTTTTAAAAAGCGTATATACTATTGTCAAAATGTCAAGAAAAACAAGGTAAACAATTATTATTGTAAATAATTCCTTTTGGGGAAAAGTATTTTAAAAGTATTCTGAATACTCCCCAAGACTGCGATACAGATGTGTAAATTAAATCATAACCTGATATTGCAATTTATAGTTATTTACTAATAGTAAATAGCTGATAACACAATTTATTGAACGGTAATTATATAATATAAATCATTGGCATTTTTGGCTTTGGCCCATATATTTGTTTCAATAGTCAATACTAATTTCATCAAACATTAAAAACTTAACCTTTATATTTTAAAATTTAGAGTTTACAGATTTCCGGATACTCGGAATATTTTTATTGTAGAAATTATTGAGTAGTCATACAATTCTGCATGGTAAATTTAACTATTGTATTATTTAAGGATGATGCAGAACTCATTCAGTGCATGTGCGTGATGTGGGTAGTAGGCACCCATTGTTTTTGATGTTCTATTAAAGTGGATTAATCGGTAGAATCACCGTTCAAAGTTAACTTCAAATTCTGGGTGAAGTAATTAGCTATTTCTAAATATATAAACTATAGCAAAGTTTGATATTTTTCAGGGTCTTACAACATCATATTTATGAAAAAAGGTACTGAGATACAAAGTTAAGATGCAAGTATGTAATTGAAATTTCAATTACCTATATTCTTATAAACTAAGTTGTAACTTATTTGTATTAAAATATGAAGTATAGCACTATAATACACCTAATTTCGAATTGAGCCATAATATTGATACGTCACTTTTGTGGCTCTTTAAATATGACTTTCTTAAAAAATTGTAGAAAATATCTAAATTTCAATTCCTCGTTCAAACTACTCAGTAATAAAATAAATTGTAGCCTTTTATTAGAGAAAAGTAATTTCAAAATCAACCTACAAAAATACCAGGGGATAATGATTTTTTATTAAAAAACTTAAATTCAAATTATTCAATAAATTCATCAGTAAATACGCTAATTTCATTAGGTAATTCTGCCGATATAGATCTATTTTCTTGTAATGTTAATGATGTTAAAAAAAATTGTGATTCGATTTAATTTTATTATGTTACCAAATACCAATTATAATATACTATATGTTTTATTATATTCATTATAATTATTATTATTCATATTACTTACTTGTATATTTAATACAACATTATTCTTATACTCAATACTGCACACATATACTTTATAATTCACATTATATACCCACAGTTCTTATATTTTTAATCAAGTTTTTGACAATGGAGTTTTTTTTCTTCTCAAATAAATAAATACATTTTTGCCATACAATTTGACTAGGTATATTAGGTATATAATATTATAGGTACATAATATTGTCTTTACATTGTTTTTCTAAAAACATATTGCTTACTAAAATCATTGTTGTACTAAGGTAATAACATGTATTATACACGTTTCTAAAAAAAGTTATAGTTAATGTATAAAAAAATAAAAAATAAAATAAAAATTTGATCAAAAAAATTGAAAAACCATAAAAAAATATTTCTTGATTTCTAGGATTCATAATAATTAAAAAAAACACTGTCTTTATCTGTTTGATAATATTATGTTAATCAACACTGCAATGGGATTAACATAAAAAATATGTCTAATTTTGTTTCAATATAATACATATAATATACAATAGTCTCGTAGATAGGTATTGGCCAGGTACTCTCATATATATATTCTCAAGTTCCCATTTCATAAAATATAGTTTCTCTCTGATTCGGAATACTTTCGATTTGAGATCTTACACCACAACTCTCTAGCATAGTATTATTTAAGGCCAGTCGGTATGAAACTCTCGGTGTTTATTAAAAACAAATTTTTGACAAACTCTTTGAGATTTGTTCGGGTTTCGCCATATCAGCATAGTATTGTTATATCAGTATAGAAATATAATTTATAGTAACCTTATGTACTTAAATCTCGGTATGTCTAGGTAGGGGCCTAGGTAGGAGCCTAGGGGATGTGGAAACTCACCTTTGGTCTCGTCTTTTTTGTCGTCGGTCTTCGACGCTCCGCCGGTGGCGGCAGCTGACTTGTCGTCTGCGGCCGTGGCGGTGGCCGTGGACGACGGAGGCTTGCTGTTGCCGGCCGCCGAGCCCCTCTTGCCGGACCCGCCTATCATATTTTTCGCTGACGATACAACAACGACGATGACGATGTGCTCGCGAGTAGTCTACATTTCAACAGACGACGGCACTACGCGAGAAGTCGACGCGGAACTTTTTCACGAACACACGCGCACCGGCGGCGGTGGCAGCCGTGGCAGGTCGATAGATCGCTCGGGCAGACATGGCGACGATCTATAATACGCTACAGCAATAAATTATGGGTACAGTGCTGACGATGCTCGGAACTCAAGGACCGAAGACTGATGCACCTGGCAGTAAACGATTATTATAGTTATTACCTATATAAAAAGATACACACACGTCGTAGTCGGCCCACAATCGCGAATCTACGGGTTCCGGTGCCGCGAGCAGCTTTTTCGTCGTTCGCGTCCCGAGTTGCTCCGTAACTGGCACTCTGGACGATTACAAACGCCGACGATATAATATAATACGAATATTACCGCGCTCGTGCAGTGCAATAGGGTATACTGCTATACGAATTGTTATAGGTGCACCCGCAGGTGTACGTGTGGCAGGGCGCTACGGCGTGTTCTCGGGATTTGCATGTCTCTCGCAGCAGACCAATGAAAGCGAACTTGTCCGGACGGAAGGTGGTGGCGTACCTGTATACCTGCTACCTATGGAAGTTCGCATGCTTACGTGCTCCTTTATACGACACCCCGCCCGCCCCGGCCGGTCACCCTCGGCGCCGGGGCTGTGAGGTCTCGCCCCCTCCCCCGCGCGATCGCTCTTTCACCGTCGGCACACGATCCATACCTATATATACTTGCCCAATGTTATATACCCGCGTGTTATCCACGCGGCCTTTCTTCCGTCTGTAGCTCATAACTCTACTTAATTTGGGTTAGGAGTGAATGTACACCCTTTTTGATTTTAGCTTTATATACATGTATATAATATGTTTCGCAGTTTATTTTTACCCGCGTGCTCGTAATTCGACCCGTTTAATGTCCTTTAACTCGAATAATTCTAACAGTGGACACCAGATGATTTAGGCATACATATTATTAATATGTTATTATAAATAGGCGTACCTGGTACCTCTGTATCAAATGGTATAATTGTCATACCGTGAAATCCCATTGTATAATATGTACCTATTTACTGTTGCTACTTTGCGTTGATAGACGATTTCCGTAAACACATCAGTATCGTATCTGGTACATAATATTTTGCTAGAGATTGGAACGCATTCTTCATATTATATCATATGCATGTTGTGTGTGCATTGATATTTACAAAAACAATCCATGTAATTGTTAAAGAGGTGATAAAATATGACAGCGTTTTTTTGGGGATGAGGTGACCGAGTGGTCTGACGCGTCCGCTGCGACGCAGCCGGTCGCGGTTCGATCCTCGGCTACCGGGCGGCAATTTTCTCCGGACAAGTCGCGGTGACCGGAGAACAAGTGCTGCCATCCCCCACCCCCGGGGCATGGCAGAAACCTACGGGTGCCCCATTCGAAATTCTGCCAAAAACAAACACACACGTGTTCCCCCCTACCGTTCCAAAAAAATATACATTACAAACTACAATACAGATCCTACTACAGCTAATGGCCTCAGTTGCCGTTCAATAAAAAAAAAAAAAAAATGACAGCGTTTGAGTTTGTTACTAAAGAGTGAAGGCTAATTCGATGATGTTTGATATGTATGAACAGGGTTGGACTAGCCCCAAAATGTGTACCGGGAAATTCTATTTTTTGGCGGCCCTGCTTCTTTGGACCAGCCACGTAGTTGAACCTAAGGGGACAAGCTCTATCATAAAAAAAAATGTTAGTTAATAGTGAATTATCTAAAAATATAATTTATAAGGTAATAAATATAAGCTCTATACTAGCCTTTATCACGAGTTATTTATTTTTTAAATATAATATAATAAAAAAACAATTAATATAAATAAATTGTCAAACATTAACATAGAAAATTTCATCAAATCAGAATACATAAATTATATAATAAAAAAAATAATAATTCTTTGTCAAGGTAGGTAATCTATATTTTTAAGCAACCAACATTTTTTTGAATACTGAGCTATGTTTTATCACTTCCTCAATAATATTTTCGTGTGTTAATGTTTCCAAAATATTTTTATTTAAATGCATTACATCCATGCATCCAGATTTTCCATCGATAGACGGTTTCGAAGTCGGTTTTTTTTATAAAACTTAAGGTAGAAAAACTCTTTTCACAGCCTACCTGAGTGCATGATAGTGTTAAAATATACATATAGGCTAAAAATAAATTGCTATATGCTTTAACATATAATCTATATTTAAACAATACATTAAAACAGCAAAGAAAACAATTTAAACACCGTTTATTTGTTTTGTACAGAATTTGTTCAAATTCATTTTCTTGCAAACATTCTAGATCTAATTCTGGATGTTCATTTTCCTCATCACTTCTATAACTTGCATATACTTCTGGTAAATTTAATTTAAGCTTATCCCATTTTTTGGTAAAATCTAGAAATTCTTCCCTTAAAATAGAAGTATTTTCTAATCCAAGAACTTTACTAAGTTTGAAAAGAGCAGTTGTGGGCAATGGTTTTGAAAATTGACGAGGATCTAAGCATGTAAAATCTGAACATATTTCAGCGTGTTTAGCAAAACGTTGTTCTAGTTTACAGATCACTGTATCCATCGCTGTGTTATGAACATTAAATTTAAACAAATCAATAGCAGTTTCATTTTGGTTCTCACCAATCTCACCATCCAATATTTTTTTCTTGCGTATCCGCACATTTGGCAAATTATCCGGGATCAAATTATTAATTTCATCTTCATTTTCAATTAATTCATTAGCCCATTTTACAAAATTTTTACCTGCCTTTAAAATATCTTCAAAATGTCTTGCTTCTTTTTTTAAAAACTCTAATGTTGAACTGACCATCTGTTGAGCTTGTAAAATAAACATTCCATCAGTTTAATTTTTTCCATAATAATACAATAATTATTTCTGTCTTTATATCAATTTAAATTGATATAAATTCCATAAAATAACGATTGAAATAAATTTTCTTTTATCAAATCAAGATAATCACCATGGACTTGCGGTACAATATATATTAATAGCTACGGCGATACGGCCCCTTTTTGCTGCGGCCCACCGGGAAATTTCCCGGTATTCCGGTGGGCTAGTCCAACCCTGTGTATGAACATGACCACATCTTGGAATTATCAAATAAATCCTGGTACTGATTTACTTCATTTATGAGAGTCCTCAGCTTGATTCATTATATTTATTATACTTAATAGACCAATGCCGTTTAAGGAAAACATTTTCGTATCAATTAAAATAATAATAATACAAAATCGGAAATTGATAACTCATCAAAAGTTAAAACGTATTGGTATTAGTGATGGTATTACCGTCGATCATAATATTACTATAACTCACGATAGTAGGTACTGTTTGTATTATTTTGATTTTATTGTAAAATTTAGTGGCTTCTTCAAAATCAAAGTCCCAGGCTCAAAATCTGTTAACCTGGCCCAGGACCCCGAGTACGTCACTTTAGCTTTCAGACACTATGACATATTTACGTGACAAGAGTACGCCGTCGAATTTATAATGTTGATTTAGGATTAATTAATTTGATATATTTTGCTGTTTTGGCGGTAAGATGTTGACTTGGAACTAATATGTTAATGAGCTTACGATAACACCACCGCCGGTCGGTGTCCGGATAATCAGTTATTCAGTTATCAATTATAGACCGTCGACCGAACAACATATTATAATATGCATAAATCGAAAAGCCAGGCTGACTCGAAAACATATTACATAACTGTTAAAGTAATACTGATTAAGTTTTTCAGATCGTTAGCTAAAGAATAGCTTGATCAGCAGTATGTTTAGTGTTTACAAATATACAAACAACTTTTTAAAGCGATTTTAAATTTTTAAAGACACAAAATACCATCAACTGTTATCGTCGAATTAAAATATAATATTTCATGAAATAATTTAGATACTTAGTATGGCGTACGTATCATAACTAGGTTAGAATTTAATCATTATTATTATTATCATCAGGGTGTAATTGTACAGCATAGTAATTAGTCAAGAGTCAAGACCTACAGACTATACATGCAGGTATGTGCATCTGGAATCAATGCGACAATGCACTTGCTAAAATGCTAATTTTTTAATTTAAAATGAAAATATAAAGGTAGGTGCCGTAGGTTGGTACTATCTGGTTTTTTAATTTTTGATATTGAGTATTATAATTCGCTAACTATCAAGATCTAAAATTCTTCATTTTCGCTATTCTTTTTTATACTTTTATCAATTTAGACATTACCAGACCAACAAATCACACTTGTTGAAATCTTTTATTAAATTCAAATAAACATACCTAAATGTTCAAAATCAATATTATGAATCAAACTGCACATATTGTAGTGGATATTACCATTGATTATAAATAAATGATTATAATATTATTACAAGATGATAATAATAAGTGTACCGTAGTTTAAATACTAATTCACCAGCGCCGAAACTAATTTCTTCTAACTATTTACTAGTTTGGGACTTCAGTCAAGCTCAATTAATTTAAATAAATAAAAGCGTACAAAATTAATTTTTAATAAATATATTTATAAGTATAATATCATGTATTTTTTTTTATATTTTTGTTAATTTTTAATTGTTCATTTGTATTCTTTGATAGATCAAAACCAAAACTATAGTACCTGGTCAGATTACATTTTTAATACTTCTGGACTTTGGTGTTTGTGTATTTTTATTTTTTCACCTACTATTTTTCAATGCACAGCAAGTATTAAATAACTTTTTTTGTATTATTATTTATTTACAATCAATAATATTACCTAGATTAAAACTGTTCATCCGTACTGTACGTATTGATATAAATGTATCATATCGATAAATGACGACTGAACCCAATCAGTTATTAATGAAAAGTAAATATGTATAACCATAGATTAGGCACTCGACTAGGAAACGCTATTCGTGCATAAATCAATGATCGATAGTTTTAATAATTAGTTTTTTTTTATAGATTGGTAATGGTCTTAGATTTAATATAGCAATGTATAATATCTCAATAATGTTTTTTCATGAGAGCATTTCAATCATATCAGTTCGTGCACAGTGTTTCAATAAACAATAGACGGGTTTTTCGAACGCAAAACGTTGTACATTTTGCAGATCGATAAGATAACTAAGTAAGTACCTATGAATAATGCTATGTATATTATGTTATAATGTTCCACGTGAGCGATGCGATACATTTAGATATATTTACTACCGGACTGTGTCTTATAGAATTAATAACCGTATATCTCCATAAATCATTATAATATCACATTCGTGTCACTGGATACCTATAGATATCTAGAGTATAAGTCCGACAATTCTATTCGTGCTCTGGATTCGGTGAAGACACAATAATGTGATAAATACGGTGCATTTATTAAGGTTTTTAAATTAAAGAATTAGTACTCCCATTATGCCGTACAATTAATCTAGATGTAGGTCTCACAATATTTTTTTTTTTTTTATTGAATCTAGTATAGGTGATACCTACACAGGGTGTCCCGTGAGGATTTACTCATTGCGATATTTCCTGAAATAATGTAAATATCATAATAAATTCTGGTTTTTTATTAAGACTCACAAAGATAAGCACTACAAATAACTAGTTCATGTTTTCATTTTTTTTTTTATACTTATATATTATATTATATTTTTTTTACTAATTATTTAAAAGAAATTGAAGATAGCCATTTTGAAGATAGCCATTTTGAAGAGTTCATTTTTCTGAAAATATTGACGTTTCAACATTTTAATTTTATTAATCTCCTGATTTTTAATCAATTTTTCAGTTAGTTGGTAAAACAGCAAAAAACCAGTTTTTGTACTGGCGGCGAGTCCCCCTCTACGGCTAATAGGTATATCCTCACGGGACATTCTGTATATACATATTATAAATTAATCGGAGAAAATATTCTATACTTAGCTATACTATGCACAATTGCTATCAAACAATCATAAATAAATATAAAAGTGTACCACTATTACAAAAATAATTAAACCAATTTTAAAATATTTATAATACCTATCAATAATAATTTGGTCTATTGAATAATTATTAATATTTAATTTCCGTAGAAGAATAACAACTGTGTTATGTTTTTTCATTGTTGGTACTTTTGTATTGGTGATACCCATAATACATTTTTCATCAACTTTCACGATAATTAATTATGTTATAACTTATAAATTTATGAAATTACACATTTTCAGCATTTCTGTATCTACATGCCAGTTGGTCGTATTTCGTACATATTCTGTCATTTTTTTTGCAAACATTTATAGAACATCCGAGAATCTATTGTGTAGTATTTAAGAAAATTATATACACTAAAAATCATATCCGTATTGGCTATTCCCTATATTATGATATTAATGTAATTTGTAAATGCCAGCTGCCAACGGTTTATACTATAATTATACCTAATTATTGTTGTTTTAATAATTAATAATTCTCGTTTGTCTCGTAATTTCTGGGAACTCGCTCCACCGTATAGTGTATGTGTCAAACACTGAATAGGTTATCTATACTGCAATGGACATATTATCATTCACAAATTTCAAGTTTTTAAAGTTTTTTACTCATGAACTAAAACAAACAAACAATTAGGATTTAGGGAGTTAAGAGAGGGCTCAGCCTGAAAATAACCATTTTCCCCTAATTTTCTTTTTGTTTCTCCCTATTATTTCAAAAAAGTACTGAGTAGTTTTACTTTCGGCCGCCTAAAAGTATACCGACTAGTTTCAATTTTCTACCAGAAACCACCCTCGATGTAGAAGATTGAACCATTTTTCTTTAATAAAACGTAAAAAAACGACACACACCAATTTAAGACCAACACATATTCATAGTTTCAGGCTAAATCAGGAATGTACTTTCACCTCGTTTCCGTGATCATTGCCACTTCATAGAATGCTCAGTGATTAGATCGATCCGTACTAAACGATTACATTATATTGAAAAAAAAAAAAGGTAAGCGGCATACACATTATATTGATAGAATACTGTTCTATCGAGAAAATCTATCCAAGAGCCGCTGGCATAGCATAATAATATTACATGTATATTACTTTTTAACAATAACTGCAATATTATTGTATTATCCGAGAATTCATCCGGAAATACGAAAGTGTTTTAAATGTACGTGTTGTTTTGTCAATAATTTTTGTTTCGAAGGCCTAATAACATGCAATTACCGGAAACCGTCCCTCGATACGCATGCAATGTTTGACAGCTACAAGTATAATCCGAGCTTGATATCATTCCGTACATATTGTCGTTGTAGTTGTTATATATATGTTTATTACATAAAGCACACAAACACACACTTTCATATGTATATACATTTATTATAATATTACATAGGCACACGTATGTATATCATATCTCCTGCATTGCACCCGAACAACGAGCGGTGTGCACAAGGCTCCCCCGAAGAAATTAAACTTTGACAACCCCCTCGCATTTCGTGCGTTCAAACAAACGATTACCCGGTCGGTACGTCGAATATCATACTACTGTGTATAATAATAATAATATTACGTATTTGTGAGTACATTATTATTACAACATATACCTAATATATTTATATATATATATACGTTCGCTCGCGATTTTTAGAGTATATTTACATAATATTTTACTGTTATTAGGCTGGTAGGTATATCGCATACAATTGTATGTGAATGTGTTACTTATAAAACTTGACGTTTTATAAAATAAAATATAATAAGGCTTAATATCAGCTAGGTACTTGTCCTATAGGAACGTTTGGTTTGCATATGTATGGCGTGCATCCCTCCCTTACCACATGCAGTATATAGGTACTATAGAGCAAAACACTTCGAAAAGGTTGCATCATATTATTATTTTATTACTATTACTTATATTTTGTTACACCTTAAGGCTTAACTACATATTATAATCGAGTTAATTGTTATCTGTCGCACTATACTTATTGCCTATGTGTATTGTGTATCCACACATAATAACATAATATAACAATGTAAGTACAATATTATATCGTCCTAATAACTTTAATATTATAATGATATAAAGCTATATGCATATTGTTATTGTTTATTGTTTTCGCATTGATTTCTCTCAATGTCACGTCCCTATGTACATGATGTTACGAGTATATCGACCTTGTATTTCACGATAAACTGCAAAAAGCACAGAAATGCATACTATACCTGCACAATAATGTATAATATGATATATAAGTGTAATAGCGTAACGCCGGGTGTATAGTTCGAAACGTGTACCTAGCTAAATGCCTAAATGCATAAAGACTGAATGCAATATCACAATAGACTATTAGGTATAGCAGTCCATAATAAGAGCCGTTTTTTTTTGTTTTGTTGTAGGATATATATTTACTACGCTTTTATTGTTATTTGATCTACAAACCTCTGTGCGACCATCATACTTTGCATTGTTATTATTTTATTGTTTAAAATGATCAACTTTCACCCCGGTAGAAAAACGGCTATGTTATATTATAGGTACCTATAGATATATACGCCTATAGACAATATCGTCACGTGCGCGACGAAGGATTTTATGTAAGGAAACACGAATATTATCAGATTTAATGTATTTTGTTCATTGTTTATAGTGTGGTTATTATTTTACTTGTCCCGCTTACCTACCAATATTTCGATATAATAATACCAAAACTGTATAGTACAGTACAGTATTATATTGTATTGTATGTTATTGTAGGTTTATAGTTTTATCATTTATTATAATTTAGCGATCGATGGCAAAACTAGACTTTAAAATAAAAATATTTTGACTGATCATTTACATTTTTGCTTGTATATTATAATTAACTACTATCAATATCTGTTGAATATATTATAGGTACTTATAATAAATCATTTTATGGAAATACTGTAGGCCGTGAGAATAGTGAGAAGTGAAAATCATATTGTGATTTCACAAATACAGATACATATGAATGCTACAAATCGTGAACATTAATAATTATACACATATAAGTACATAAAATTATAATAATTGTCGATAGAGTTCACCTACAAAACGCTCAAAAAGATTTAATTGCAATTTTGAAAATTGACTAACAAACTGCAAATTAAATTCTTGGGAATCACTTAACATGATATTATATTAATTTGGTCATAATACGAAACAATTGAATAAATTTAAATACCAACAAATAATGATCCTATTAACTAAATCATCGTAAAAATAATGTTATTCAAAACCATCAAACACATATTTTGATATTGTAAACAAATATTACTAGTTTCGAATGGGTTATTTTTCGAACACAATAATTCTTAAATTATTAACTTAGAGTTATTTGTATTCGTAAAATATAATTTTCACATCACCAATTTCAGTTTAAATTGTTTATACACCTAAAAAAATTATAAATTAAATTTGATCCTATTTCTGAATAAACTTCTACCTCAACATGATTTTCCTCCAATAAATTAATAACTTGTATACTAATTAATGTAACTAACATAAAACGCTGAAAAAGTTGAGTTGTAAAAATTTTAGGTACCTAAGTAAACCTAACTCTTAAATACAATTTTTATTCTAATGTAAACCGCAATAATATTGTGATATAAACGATGGTAAAATATTTGATGATGAATTAAGATTGTTGCACATTCTGAAAGTAAAAATTAATTTAAAATACTTAATTTCTCCTTCTATAGGTATTTATTGAATCTCAATCAAAAAACTTATTACCTCGCGGGTCATGCCATTTTATTTCATATTAGATACATTTTTATAGGGCTCCATAATAATTGTGATATTCTACAACTACATCAACCTTATGTATTATAATTTAAAATGATTATAATAAATTAATGTTTCTATTGGTATTATTCATAATGATATAATAAAGGTTTCTATCTAATATAATACTTACTTGTACTTTATAGTACTTTCGACAAAGACTTGTTTCGATGTTTTTAATAAACAAAGAAAAGGTCTAGTTAGAATATTAATCATTTGCTTATCGTTTTCTGACTACCTAACTGTATTTTTTAGTAAACAAATTACACATACATCATACAGTGTTCTACCTTCTACTGTTATATAATATGTTTACATTATATTATTCATTAATTACTAATATTAGGTATAAGCATTGTCGGTATGTGGATAACTAACCAGCTAATGTTTTTACTATCAACAATAATGATTGAACCTTTAAAAATAATAATTGCATTTAATCATATTTACCGGAACGATAATAAAGGAGTTGATAATAACTAATAACTATAATATATAATAAGTACGTGTTCCCAGGAACTCCAGATTGAAATTTTCCAATTTTTTTTTCTCAAATATTTAGCATGTATTTGCATGCTCAGTTTTGTAACTTGCAGGCGTCTTAATTAGGTTTTTTTTATCTAAAACCAGAAGAGGGGAGGGGGCTGTAGAAATATGTCTCAGACCCCCCCCCCAACCATCACACATCATAACCGCTTAATTTCAAATTTTTTTCACCCTCAAAATTTAACATGTAATTGCACGGTTGGTTCCACAACCCTTTCCTCATATTTTAACAATTTAAACTAAGCGTTTTTATTTTATAATTATAATCATTTCTAATCTTACTATCTTAATAGTTACTTTATTAGTTGAATATTATTTTCTTAACAATTTATTTAAACAAATATCATTACATTATTGATCAGAATAATATCAAATATAAATACATAGCAATGGCTACCTATCATTACATTTAGGTACTATTTATTTTTACAATTATTATTGGAATGACATTTTGAGTTGTATTTTTTCTCTGCTACCGTACATTTACATTTTTTATTTGAACATTGTTAAGTACAATTACATCCATCATAACCCTGTCTTAATAAATTTTAATATTTCCCGGCTGCTTCTCTCAATATAATTGTTGGATTTTTTAAAAATAAATAGTAAATGTAATGATAGGTAGAAATTGCTATATATATTTTATATTTGATATTATTCTGATCAATAATGTAATGTAATAATATTTGTGTAAATAAATTGTTAAGAAAATAGTATTCAACTAATAAAGTAACTATTAAGATAGTAAGATTAGAAATGATTATAATTATAAAATAAAAACGTTCAGTTTAAATTGTGAAAATATGAGGATAGGGTTGTGGAGTCAACCGTGGAATTTGAAATTAAGCGGTTATGATGTGTGATGGTTGGGGGGGGGGGGGTCTGAGACATATTTCTACAGCCCCCTGGTTTTAATTAAGACGTATGCAAAATGCAAATTACAAAACTGAGCATGCGAATACATGCTAAATATTTGAGAAAAAAAAAATTGAAACATTTTAATGTGGGGGGGCTGGGGACAACTTACGTATAAATAAAAATGTTTAATACAAATCCAGATAAATGTAAGTACCATATAATATGTTTTATTGGTACTCGTGAGTGTGCTATCTTCGCTGAAAATGAAATTAAATGTAAACATTTAAGCGTAATTTAAATGTGAACATTTAATTTCGTGTAGTACGAGTGTAAGACTAACCTAATCATCTCATGCCAGCATAGTAAACTAATTTCTATGAGGCTTCTACTAACAACTATTACAATAGTTATGATAATGTTTTAGGTACTTAATATTAAAGTAAGTTCAATTTTTTTTAAGCAAATAATTATTAATTGATGAATTGCTTCATCATGACATTGCGCTATTGAATTTGCTGTTTTATTTTTCACTTATACCTATGTGAAGAAATTTATTTTTTTTCGAATTCATGATTATGTTTGAAAAACTAGTTTTGTACATCGATAACTATTATTGGTAACTCTTATTGATAAATATCCTTTAAAATCACTTTTTGGTCTTTATTGGCATATTCTTAAAAGTTATTAAAAAGCCCATCATAATTAAGCTGTTCTTCCACGTTTAAAATCACGAAAACGATTGAAAATAAGTAATTACGTAGTACAATGTACGATGTTTTTTTGCGGTAATTAGATCTATACTTACTGTACTTCTGGCGTATTATGCCATCTACCTATTTAGTATAAATTAATTATAAAATATCCTTAGAAATATTGACTAAAACATCGTCTCCGCTTACAAACATTTTTTGAATGCAATTATTTATCATTAAATTTTGATGACATATTGTGTTACGATGTGCTTATTCAATGAAGAAGTGCATGCTCGTAAAAACTATACAGCAGATCGACTTCCACGGTTGTTTTATTTTTAATGAGAAATGAGGATTAATAATAAAATAAAATATTATATTTTATATGCCATAATAATAATATATATTTAGGTATATAATGTTCTTATTATAATAGGTACCTAGTTGTACTTTTTAACTGTATTAAGGAACGGAAATTTTACGTGTATAAAATATGGTTCACAAAAAAAGTAGGTATAGAGGTATATTTACAATACATTGTATAGATTATAATTAATAGTGTACTTATTACATAATAGTATATCACTATATATAAGCCACGTAATTGCTATTGAACCGTTCACAACTAAAACATTCTACGGCTTTATCACTCATTAAATTATTTATTTTATTTTATCTTAAACTCTTGAAGTACTTATGTCCTACATCTATAAATTGTACAATACAATATTGTTTTATAGTATTTTTTTTAGATATTTTTGATATCATATTTCGTGTTTTACTTTTTAAGTAACCACAACGATATTTAATTTCATACTCCTAAGAATATACTTTTGAGAAGTTTTTTGATTTATGAAATTGAATTACCAACGATTAGTTAATTACTTATAACAATTATAAATATATTTATACTTTAAAGTGGGGCTTTGTGGCACAAAGGTCTTCTCAAAATGTTGGTCTAAAATTCTATAATATATTATATATTATATTTTTTCTTGCGTACCTATTTTTTTTTATTATTTTGTACTACGTATAACTTGTAAATTTATTGAGAACTTTTGAAATTGGTTAACGACAAAAAAACTTGTATAATTCTCTATAACACTTGCACACCTAGGTTAAGTGTAATTTGTTCTTTCTGAGCAGTTTAAATGTTGATGAGTAAAAATAAAACTACTACACAGTTGACTACTTAGTAAATTTAATATTAAATTAATAAAAGTCAACTAAGAAATCGTTATTTTAACTGAGTTTTGAGCCATCGGCGAAGTGACAAGGTTTTTAAGAAACCCGGGTCTCGTGGCTGTTTTTGAGTGGATTGATGAAAGGTCTATGTTAGTGCAAAAAGTTGGCTGATCATTGATGTAAACTATTGAGTATTGACAACTAGATAGTACCACTGATTATTTTGGGATAGCAAGCAGAAGGACGAAAACAAATTATATCTTAAAAATAAAGTCATTAATTATAAAAGTTAGTAACTCACCGCTTCCAGGCATAATATTTTGTACTTCGAAAAAAAGTGACCCATTCTAAATAAACTCAATATTTGCGTCAATATGCATAATTTTTTCAAATTTAATACTCCAACACAAATATTTATAACACACCCTAGCTGGTGCAATGGTCCTCCGAAGTGTACTGTATCAGCTCTTTTATTATATAAGATAATTTGTTTCTTTTTCAGTTCAAACTGGGCAATACCTTTGTTGATATGATATTGTGATTTGAACTTAACACATATAAATATTTATACTTCTCATTGGGCACGGACAACATTTTTTAAGCTAATGAATTATTTAATTTAAACTTCCTTCATTATTATCCTTAAAATCACTCTGAATACGTTTGGTTTTTCATCTAATAAATGAAACTATTTCAACTTTCGTTCTCCATTGCTTATGAATAAATCTTAAAAGTAAAACACTTTATTTTACAGTTGTATACGCGTATACTAATTTCGATAAAATCGTGAACACGAACGCATAAAAAGTAAAACTCGGTCAGAACTGTATATATTTCTTTTTCTCGTTTGTGTTTTTATTTTTTCCGTATTGTATAAACATCTTAAAGGTATAATTATGTTTTATGCTTATGTATCTAGTTTATAAAATACTATGTAATAAAATATTGTCAATCAACTAATATTTCAAACCTTTCACTCCTCCCACCAATTGCACCATGCATGGTCAAATTTATTCAATCCTTTTTTTTCATGTATATAATGTTAAACCAGCTTAGGTTTATTATTGTGTACATATTTTTTCAATAACACTGATGAATGATGATATAATAATACATTATAATATATTATTTTCAGATTATTAAATGATACTGGCTGCAGTTGTTAATCAATTTCATAACTGTCTATACTCTATATTATATTATATGGAATAGTGAGAGTTAAAATACATATTAGTTTTTAAGATTTGGTTTACAAAATCATTAAATTTACGCAGTTTAAACGTTTTTTTTTCGTTTTAGGTGGCTAGAATTATTAACAAAATGATGAACTGCTCGTTGTTTAAAATAACGAATCTAAAAGGATTGCGTGCTATTAATAGACATTCAATGTAAGTATTTAATGTAACTAGACATTTAATTATTTATATACAAATATACAGAGTATTATTATTTTGAATATGTATAACAATACTAGTTTCAAAGTTTTCAAAATTGTCATTATTATTATTACGAATGTAATCTTTTATATTTTACAGTACAATTATTATATATATTTTATATGCATACTGGCTATTTTATAAAACGTCTTATATAATTAATCGCCATATCAATTCGGACAGTACAACACACTTTAGGAAATGGAAGATGTACAAAAAAAATGCCACATTTTTTTCTTGTTAGATATTTTCCTGATTTATATAGCAACCTGCCCACAAATGTTCGAAATTTAGTTTAACATAATGAGTCGATAATCAGTCTCATAAATCATAATATTTTATCACGCATTACGTAGCGTAGGCACATCATACTATTAACTCCAGAGCATGTCGTGTTTTTCTATTTTAAATTTTAACTGTGTGTAAACCGTGCAAATACGAATATCAAGCTGCAGTGTTAAAATATATTACCAAATGCAGAGGGTAGAGTACTTGTCACGCGCCGCCCTCCTGTTTTCTAGACCATTGGATTTTTTTTCTATTAAATGTACCTACCATGTTTACCACGCAACTAGGCCATTTTCAAAGTAGTGGCCATGACCTACAGAGCTTCAAGTCTATGGATTTCCGTGCAACATAGTATAATGAATGAAAACAATTTTGATTTTTAAACGATTAAATAATCTACACCTAGCGGTCATTACACCTTTTAGATACATTGTCTGACTATTGTAAGACGCATTATAGATAACGATGAGTACAGAATTACAGAATAATAATAATAATAATTCCTATTAATATTAGTTATTAATAGGCTCGTGTGCGAATTGTATGTAATATACTAATAAATTAATCTGCAATTTGTGTGAGCTGTAGTCGTAGTGTCGTTGACGTTCAGGTAAACGCCAGGAGTTACATGTAAAAAAAACGCTTAATTGTATGTTACCACAAGTAAAATGTATGGTTGTCGATGGATTAATTATTAAATACTTACATTAGAAGGGAGAATTGAAAATTTGCCTGAGGGTTATAAATTGAAGTGTAATGGGCTATTAATAATTTAAACATTTATAAGTTTGATTCAGAACTTATCCTTAATTGAAAAATATATAGTGAAATATTATACTATAATATGGTTTTTACGTGTAATTGTGTATAATTGTGTATAATTATTGTAATATTACAGAAAATAAGGCTAACCTTTTTAACTAATATAACAATAGACACAAGTGTTATATAAATACATCCGTTCATATCGGGTTGTATGAAAAATTAATTAATTAAATATTTCAATACAATTTAATGGACTAATCATAGACTACTATATTATGTGTAGTTTCTCTACCTCCCCATTGATTCATTAAATGTTTAGTGATTGCTTGTGCAAACTGAAATGTTTAGTGTATTAAGCACATCATATTATATTATAGTCTTGTGATAATTTTGTGCAATATATAATGACCCTAATTCGTTCGGTTTTCTTCAGTTATCAAAGATTTTCGAGAAATAATCATTGGTCGAAGTACAGCTATGTGTGTGGCGCCACGAGTGACCCACTCAAAGCTTATACGATCGGGGGAGTTTTCAATGACAACGTACAACAGATTCCGGACCTAGAGTTCTTGGTTAGTCGACACGAGAACAAACGATACACATTCGCCGCCATGGATTCCGAGGTCAGCGAAAACTAAATACCACAATAATTATTATAGGTTTAATCGAAAACGACAGTTTTGATTTGTCCTAGAATATATTATCATTACTTACCTGTACATAATGTACACTCGTTATTATATACAGTAGTGCACTACACGTAACACGAAGAAAAATATGTATTCATTTAATACTGTAAACGTGAACGCTAATTGATTCATATTTTTTTTCCATAGGTGGATAAGCTTTGTAAGAGTTTTAATGCCGTTGGCCTCAAGCACGGGGATCGGGTTGGAATATGGATGCCCAATTGCGTGTTGTACTTTATTGCCATTATCGCGACAGCTCGCCTGGGACTTATTTTGGTAGGTATTTATTTGTATATTTTATAGTTAAAAAATAAAAACAAAGTTTACAGTTTTTTTTCTTTGGGCCTCGGTGGATCAAAATTGGACAGAAAATAAAAAGTTAACAGGTTTTCTAATATGAATTTTGTTACTGAAAAAATTTGATGATTGGGGTTATATTTTAATATTTTAATATAACTCTTAAATAAATATAGGTAAACTATATAGCTTTTAATCAAAATCACCAAATCAGTTTTCAATCCACAGTAAATTACACAATAAACAATTCATGCTTTTTTCTCACAATGAAATCCTTTCAGCCTGACGAAACAACAGGAGCTTAACCTCACCAACAAACAAATTATATAAAAATACATTTTTAAAAATGTGACTTGATCTTTTCCAAGTGCTTCTGAAGTACGAATAAAAAATGTTGATATTTTCTTCTGTTATCATTTAGGCTCTGGTATATTTTGGATATTATTCCATGGCATCTATGAAATGTGTTTGTGAGTTTGGTATATTATTGCATGTAGAGTGGACAGGTTGACGGATCATTACTGAAAAAAAATCGTGTGTCATAATTTGATAAAATAATATATATCAATTTTGTGCTCTGTAGGCGATGTCAATAATATTGCAGATTACAATTAACATGGTGTGTTTGTGTGAGTTTCATTTTTTAATTTTTTTTTTAAAAATGTATTTTTGTATGATTTGTTTGTTGGTGGGGTTAAGTTCCTGTTGTTTCATCAGGCTGAAAGTGTTTCATTGTGAGTAAAAATCATGGCATTGTTTATTGTGTAATTTATTGTGAATTGAAAACTGATTTGGTGATTTTGATTAAAAGCTAGGTATATAGTTTACCTATATTTATTTAAGAGGTACATTATAATATAAAAATATAATATAATATAATGTTTATTATTTATATATAATACACACTCGTCATTAGATCCGTATTGACAGTGTATTGAAAAAATATATTCATAACTGCTACAAACTGTGATTATATCATAACATTCATAACAGCTAGCATAAAAAATAAATTATAGTCGATAGAGGTATAATATGATTTTATGTCGCTTTATGGTCAACGTCTATATAGTAAATACTTATATTATATTATGATTTCAGGTAAACATCAATCCTGCATATCAGGCTGACGAATTGAAACACACTTTAACGCTGACTGATGTTAAGTGTCTGTTGACCTTGGAGAAGTTTAAGACTCAAAATTATCCTGAAATATTGGAAAAGGTCGATCCGGATATTTGGAAGCGACCGCCTAATACTCCGATCGAGTCGAAAGTAATGCCCACCCTGAAATCAGTAATTTTTGATTCAGAAAACCATATAAAGTTAGCATTCACTTATAATAACAATTATAGTACTATATGGTTTTCAATTGAAACATGATATTTGTTACAGCGGTGCCTATAATTTACAAACGTTCTTTGACTTGGGTTTCAATTCAAATTATAGTATTCCTAATGTTCAACCAGACGAAGGTTGTATTATTCAGTTTACTTCAGTAAGTAAGATAGTGAATCGTTTAGGTTTACTACATAAATGGTTATCGGGGGCTTGGGGTAATTAATAGCTACCCATTAGCTACTTCCAATTTCTAGTAGACGTATAAAAGTATTATTAATATTATTGTAATAACTATTGAAGTTTTGATAGTAACTGCTTATAAACTATAAATCAAGAATTGTGTACTATTAATAAAGTAAAACTGTTCTTAATGAAAAATATGCTCAATTTAACAAACAAGTTATACTAATATGTATTATGTTACCTGCAGCATTTTAACATTGGGCATATTTGCATTAGGTCCATTGCGCTTTTTTTAGAAATTTGACGTTAACGAACGTAATTAATATAAATATAAATTTATTTTATAGTAATGGAAATATAAACTTGCTAGTTGATTTTGTTTTACAGTATAGATCTTAGGTATACATCTATGAAATTACATTTTTCCATTATTTATTCATCAATTGAAATTATTTTTAGGGTACAACTGGTAAACCAAAAGCAGCATTATTGAACCATTTTGGTCTAATGAACAACGCCTACTCTATCATGAAGCGTTTAGGGGTCCACGATGATCTTATTGAAGTATAGTTATGAGAAATGTTTAAACATTTATTTGATTATGATATTATATTATAACCTATCTATCTAATCCTATGAATATTATATACGTTTAGGGGAAATCACATAAATTCTGCAATCCAATGCCTCTATTCCATGCTTCGGGTTTATCCATCGGCGTTCTAGGACCATTGATTAGCAAAGCAGCTATTTTTTTACCGTCGGCTCATTTTGACCCAAAAGCCGCGGTCGATGTTCTTACCAAAGAAAAGTTAGAAATTTTGTTTATCTTACTTTTGTTTAAAAAATAGAAATTTTAAGATTTCATTTTTCTAATATATTTGTTTTAGTTTGTATTATTTATGATATATATATATATATATATAATATGCATATAACAGTACATTTTTAATTACATAATAATATCTAACTTAACTATTAATACGAATAACCACGTTATTACCTATTATAGGTGTACATTTTTATTTGGTACTCCGACGATACACGTTGACATTTTGTCCGTTTTTGAAAAACTTCCACCTGAACTACAAGATAACGATTTGAAGTTCGGAATAACTGGTGGTGCCACATGTTCTCCGATCTTGATGACCAAATTCAATAAAATGTTCCCACGGGCTAAAATATTGGTATTTATTAAAACTAATTAAAATAACTTGTTTTTTCAAAGTTTGTTGTGGCCATTTAGTCCCGACAATTAAAATGGTTTAATTAATATTAAGGATATAATTTATTCGTTTGACGAATGATATTCGTTGTAGAGTTTGTTCGGGATGACGGAAACCAGTCCCTGTACGTTTCAAAGTTTCTCAAACGATTCAGATGAAAAAGTACAGTCGACGATGGGTTTCATACAGGATCATGTGGAGGTCAGTTTATGATGCCCAACAATATATATACACATATGATATAAATTAGTGATAGGGAAGGTGCTATAATTAAAAATTGATTAACCTTGTATATAACCTAATTATCTGCTGTAGTCAGTGGCCTTTTACCCCACCCCCATCCCACATACATACACCGAAGGTTATACTAAATACATACTATGTATACTGTGAACTTACATAATTACTGTGAATTAAACTTAACTACAACTATAGACTATAATCGATCACTCGATCGTTGATAGAAAAATTTTGCTATTTAACAGTTTTGTTGATTTCTAGGCAAAAGTGGTCGATGCTAATGGCAATATGGTACCGTTCGGGACTCCCGGGGAGCTGTTGATTCGTGGGTACCTGAATATGAATGGTTACTTTAACGATGAAGAGAAGACAAAGGAAACGATTGATTCGAACGGGTGGCTACACACAGGGTAAACCATTGTCTATTCGAAGTTTTCGAACTGCAGGGTGATTCTTTTATCGTATATATCGCTGTGATATTTCCTGTGCTCGCGATAAAAGAATCTATCTGTATGTAGGTAGTAGGGGCTTAATTAAAGATCCGAGAGAAACAATAAAAAACTCCAAATTCCAATGAGTACAATTTTTCAAGAGGCGCTTTAAAATAAACCATTTGAATTTGTAGAGCAAAAATTCACAGCAAATATATTAAAGATCTGACTTTAATTCATTTCTGTAGCATCCAGTAAAAATATTGTTCAAATCAAATTTGTATACTCTCAAAACAAAAAATAAAACTTGGAGATGTCTTGTTGTTGAACTAAAATCAAAACCATATATCTCCGTTTATATATGATATTTAGGTATATAATATCTATATAATATCTATCTTTATTTAACAAACGGTTTGCCTGGTTGTTAGACCAACTCGTGAAGTTTTTTTTCTTGATAACGTACAATCGAAAACTAATTTTGAACAAAATATGGAGATATCTTGTTGTTGCTCTCAGGTCCTATATTAAATCTATGTGTGTTAATGCGTTGTTAGCTCGGTATGATATGAATATAATATGATACCGCAATGTTTATATTATTTATGGATTTATATTTAGGGACCAATTCGTTTTGTATGAAGACGGATATGCCAATCACGTTGGTAGATTAAAGGAAATGATCATCCGTGGCGGTGAAAACATATTTCCCAAAGAGATAGAATACTTTTTGGAGTCTCATCCTTTGATTTCGCAAGTTCAAGTAATTATACATATTATATACCTACTACGAGTTAGGAAAAATAAGAAAATCTCATTGATCAAGTATTATTATTATTGTACGTCTCATGTAATTTTGTATAATATAAATATATATTATAGGTACCGTACTGCAATAGTAACTACCAACTATTGGGTGTTTATGTACCTAAAATTCAAAATAAATACCTTTTATTATCATCATGGCATCAAGTAGGTACTTAGAAAACAAGCTATAAAATGATATTCTACGAAGGACATAGAGAGACAAAAAGTTTAAAATGCTAGCCAAACGTTTAGTGTAGAATTAAACTAAAACATAATCATACTTCATCTTAATAGATTAGTAGGTATAACTATATGGAAAAATTCAAATAAATTTATCAATATTAAATTAATCGTGACTTATAAATAAAATGTCTATAAATTATTTGTTCTTCTATATTTATCATAATAATATATTATAGTGTTTTTACACAGATCTGCTAGGTACTTACATAATATAATAATATGACCTTTAGGAATTTTATAGTTTTTGATTTTTAATACTGTTTGCGTTACACAATATGATGGTCGATGAAATATATAATACAATTTACAGTCAAATGTTGTGTATATTATATTCAAAACCTTTATGCCAAAAACTGAACCCTATTGCTACGTAGTTACCTATTATTATTATGATTTTAATAATATTCTGATATTCTTCTAACACATATTTTATGCTCACGAGATATGCCGATAATCGCTGTTTATCACAAGTATACATACCGTATTATCTATTATTATTTTTATTTTAATGATACGGTCATAACAATTAATATTATTTTACAAGCGCAATAGATACATAATCGCTTTTTTTATTGAAGGTATATGGTGTACCCGACGATCGGATGGGCGAAGAAGTGTGTGCCAGCGTCATCGTCAAAGAAGGGGCTACGGTTACCGAAGCCGAAATAAAAGCGTACAGCAAAGGAAAGGTCTGTCTTAGGACCACGGCTTGTTTTTTATTTGACAAAACCACATAGGTATACTCCACTTTGGTTTCGTACTTGTAACTTATATATTGTTTATTTCAGATCTCCCATTTTAAGATACCCAAATACATATTCATCGAAAAGGATGGGTTCCCGATGACGGCAACGGGCAAAGTGCAAAAGAACAGATTAAGCGAAATTGCGTTGCAACGGATTTCGAGCCTCGCCTAATATAGTTTTATTTATTTATTCATTTTTTACAATATGGAACATCGAACATGCCTCCTACCCTGTAAATAATAATACACAAATCAGCGATATAATCAGCTGTGTATTATTTCCTTCGGTATTCAATTTTATCGTTTAATATGCGTTACCACGGTGATTGAACATTTTTAAAACTATAAAATATCAACTGAGATGTATTTTATTATAGTATATTTTGTATACATTATGCATACTACAGCTATTTAAGTGAACAGGAAGTCACGCCTTTATCTTTACAAAGTTCAGTAGGTAAAAAGGCTAAATATAATCTTCAACGATTTTAATAATAATAATAATTTTAATGAATATTATTTATTTTACGTTAATCACGAGTGTTTTTATTACTTATATCATTATACAGATCGATTATTTGTTTGGATTAAAAATTACTTACTGTGATCTGAGGTTATAAATTATAATATAATATAATATTATTACTAATTACAGTAGAACTTCGATTAACCGTCACTGTCGGGACCGGGGCTATGCCGGTTAATCGAATAGACGGTTAACAGAAATTTTGCAAAAAAAAACGTGTGCATACATATATGTACACACATTTAATATATTTTATACGTGTGTGTACTTTAAAAAAAAAATTACTTACATATAACATATAAATTAATTATTATAACACATATAAATTATAAACATACATACCACACATATTTTAAAAAAAAATCTGTAATTTTAGTTTGGTTTTTTGATTCTCTAGTTTTTTTAGCAGCAATATTACGTATTTGACGTAGAAGTAAGACTTGCGTAGCATTTGACAATCGTCTAATCGCCTAATTATTTATTTTTTTCGGCGATGACCGATGACGGATAACAGAGAGTGACGGTTAATCGAGTGGCGGTTAATCGAAGTTCTACTGTATATTCCTTTTAGTAAGTCAATGAAATTGCAAGCCCTTTATTACCAACACATACACTAACTTAAACATTGAAATCGGAAAAAGAGACATAAAATAGACAATAAAAGCCAAATACCTAGGATTAACAATCGACTTAAAACTCCACTCCACGTCCCACATCACAAACTCACAATAAACACATTTTAGGCACTAAACACTGTTTATTTCTAGTCATCAACAAAAGAATTCCGATCCCCCACAATATGAATAACTTGATTATATTTACACTACTTACTTAAGATAGATGATTATTTGTGCAGATCCAGTTTGTGTTCTGTTTGATTTGTAAGACGAAATCCAAGATAATAAAGGTCCACTAATATTAATTTTATATAGTTTACATATAAGTAATGTATGATTTATCTTATCAGAAGCTTTTGAAAAGTCTAAGTCAATAGTGTCGACCTTAGAGTCTGATTCTAACATTATGTGCATAGTGCATAATAGAAAGCAGATGGATTGTGCTATAATTTAGTATACTAGTTACATCACAACTCCCCAAAAATGTATTATTTTATTAGTATGCTCTTACTAATTACTATTTCTTATTTTATAATATAACATAATGCTATCAAATAAATAATTAATACAATATATTATACAAATAAATTTATATATTTTTTCAACAATGAATGAACTCTTATACATCATGATTGGTATTTACCAAACTAATATCAGCTTAGTGTTTACTATGGTGTTTATGAATCATTCTGTTTTTTAGCTGAATTAGGAACAACCATAGGGTGATCTAATTTTTATTTCAGGTTATAGGTGTAATACATTTTTAATATGCCATTTTGTGGTTGGCAATTAATTACGATCATTACTAGCTTATTAATGATCATATACCTAATGATGACTTAAAATATGTACTACAGCAAGGGCATATAGGTAATTAAATTGAAAAAAATCATAGAATATGCAAAAAATACTCGAGTTATTTCACTATAGGTAGTTAATTAATACTTACTATTTAGTTACTCAATAATTAATCTAATAAACTGACAAAAATATCTGATTGCAACAACTAATTAAAATGTATCTACATCATAATATAAAGGCAAGTAATACAATTTTCTGACTTGTTTAAAAAAATGCTGATCATACCTATATTATATCATAAACCAAATATATAAAAAAAACTAAATTGAATTTATAAATTCAATTATGATCAAAAATAGCGAAATTGAATGAAAACATTTAATTTGAATATAAGATAGCCAAATTGAACAAAAAAAAATAGCCAAACTGAATAAATAACCTGATTTGAATAAAATAACTAATAAGCCAAATTGAAAAAAACTTATTTGAATTAAAAAAACCAAGTTGAAAAAATAAATGTCATTTTGATGCAATAATAATTATTAGTCAAATAAGATTTTTTAATTTGGCTTTTTTAAAACCAAAAATGCTTTTTTTATTCAAATTTAATTTAGATTTTTTATTTAAAGCTCATGGTGGATACCATAGTGACAAATATTTGCTATACCTAATCATTAGCTTTCGTTTGGTGACTAATTCGAAGTCCTGGGTCAAAATAGCTGGGTTACGTGAAGTTAGGTAGTTAGGTTGTCATAAAATGGAAGAAAATCCAATAAATACAATTATAAGCCAAATAAGTTTTGCATTCCACGAGTAAAAAAGTAAGTTCTATTAAAAAATAAAGTTTAATTTTGAAATTTCAGAAATTTTACATCACTAAAGCCAGTAAAAAAGAAGTTGCAAATGTTTTCCAAGTAATTTTTCAATTAGTTTGCTAAATATTTTCACAAGTCCGAAGTCGGTGGGACAAAGTCGGGGCGCTGCGTGAACCTGGCCAACCAGTTTTATTATGCCGATTTTGGTTACGAAAAAATAGGCTGCGAATTTTTAACGTTGGTTAATAAATATTGGCACTAGTTTAGAGTCTATGTCAAAGTCGGGGGGCTAACTTAGCGGACGTTCTCAAACATCTCATAGCAGCTTCATCGCTAAATCTTGAGAGGACAGAGGCAATCATCTTACAAACCATTACAGACAGTCAATAGTCATTCTTAAGGAATCAAACGATCAGCACTTTCACCTTTCATGGGTATCCAAACAATAAAACACTACATCTCAAACATTAGAAAGCAAAGCTCGCCTAAACAATTATTTTTAACCTTAATATCGATTGAGGTAATTTCGGGGGTGGTAAATGTGTGAAAAAATAATAATATATGACAAATGTGGCTCGTGCAGGAAGGCAATTTCAGTTTTGAAACAAGTTTCGCTTGCGTCTCGTGCCGCACACGGCGCCCCGACTGAAATACCTCATTTCCCACTCTTGTCGAAAGCCCACACAATAAACTATTTAAAACGTTGAGTAATTATATCATTGTCATTTTTAATTACAAGTATAATTATATACTTGTGGTTAATTAATATATTAAATTAATGATTGTCAGTATTTATAAATTGAACAGTTATTAAAAGTTTGGTCAAGTGTAAAAGAACCATTATTTAATGAAAATGAAAAAAAAAACACAAAACTTCTACCTAAATATAATATTTAATGTTATAAATCTAAGTGCTCTAACAAGTTCTGACAATGTCCAACATACGAGATGGACAATTTTTACTCTGAACCCAATAACCAATACCTATAGTCAATAATATTGGTATTGGCTTATAACTCAAAAATAATGAACAATAGTTCCATCAATGATTAAATATTTTATGGAATTTACAAGTACTTACATACCTACCTCTTTAATTTAGTTTAATTACAAATATAATATAATAATTAACCATTTTAAAATTTTTATTTGAAGAAAATAAAAATTCAGATACTACTTGTCCGATTACAGTTACAAGTTGTATGGTTTGAGTATACATCACAAATATTGTTACGCGTGTACTTGATAATGTGATCCCCAGAAAAGAGAGCTGTAAGAAAAAAAATAATGGTTCTTTACAGATATTAATTATATTTGCTTAAAGTCTTTAAACCAATAATAAAATATGGCATAAGTATTAAGTACATAACATAATATTACTCTGTACAAAAATAAATATTGCCCTACATCATAAATATAGTCTCAAATGTGTAGTATAAAATGGTATTTGTTATATAGATTTAACAGCGGTTTTATTTATAACTTGCCGTATATTCTGCAGTTTATACACAGGATTATTATTATTATTATTATTTATTTTTTTTTTATTAGTCTCAAGCCGAAAAGCTATATGGCAATTAGCTGATTGTAGTTTTTAGTAGGTTTATTACTGTGAGAGAGGGAATGGTTGGTTAGAACACGGTGTTTGTGTGGCAAGGGTTGGTCACTAAAAAATAAAAACCCGGGAGGTTACCCATCCGGGAACTATAGTGACACCGGTCGATTCTTCAAACCTTCAGATGCACAGAAAAAATACGGATTAGTGGAGTAGACTATAAGAAAAGTAATTTTAAATGTTTAGATCACTTGTTCCTTGCAACCACTTCTTTGTTTATCCAAACTTCAAATTATTGAGAATTCATAACTTATTTACAATCTACCTACCTACTTTCACGGAAATTTGTTTGTTAAAAAATTGTTTTCGGGAATACAAAAATACAAAGCCATGTTTCGTTAAAAATTAAAATGAAATAATGACTATAAAAAGTTATAAAAATATTTTTTTTTCGATGTATCGCAATGGTAACAAATTTTACAAAAAGAAAAAACTTAACAACGTCACTGCTTTTCGGTAAATTGAATGTTGGGTATTAAAATAAACATCCAGTATGTAAGTATAATATAATGATAAAAATAAATTAAATAACCTTTTATAAACCGTTAAGATAAGGTTATACATTATTTATTGGTTAGTGCTCAATATGATTATATAATAATTATTCTTACGTGTTTAATTATTTTATTGTATGCAATATCACTTGGTCCTTAGAGATATTGCTAATTCATTGTTGAATTTGGTTATCACCAAAAAAATGCTCACAGGAAATATTCTCAAGCACTTAATGTAGGTGACGTATGTAAAGTTAATTTTTTTGGTAACCATTTGTTGAAATTCTGATCAGTGAAAAGGCAAAATACAGCACCTTTGACCAAGTATTGAAATCAAATTAATGAGAAACAACTAGGAAATCATTATAGATATACACTGGCCAGCGATGTGCGCCGCAGGGGGGGGGGCTAAAGGGCTAAATCCTGCCCCATTGCCCATATTATTATTACCTTAAAAAAAAATATTTATCAAGTTTCAACTGTCATTAAGTAGTAAGCAAGTACGTAAATTTGTATATGTCTTACCCGATTCGCAACAGCCAATAACTTATAATATATTATACTTATAGGCAGGTTGAATTCATTTTTGCTAAAACATCGTATTTATTGCATACCAATTTTCTAAAATTCTCACAAATTTTTTGGTAAAAGTTTTAAGTAGGACGTATGAACTACATGAATGAAAGACGTATTAAATTTGCAAGCCGTTGCTAAACAAATGAAATGATTTTTAAATTGTTAACAACTAATTAACTGTAGTTTTGTCAAAATTTAAACTTTAATGCTTATTAAAAATAATCGTGCCTATGTAACGTTAAGATTTTTAAATAGCTATAATAAAATCTTACGAGGAACCTTGTACTACATTTTTAAGTTTTTTGACCAAAATATAAGTTTTTCATTGACATTTTTAGAAAAAAAACTAAAATTAACCAATTTCAATCCATTGCGAAGACGGTCTAACCAAGGTTACTAAACAATTTTTACAAAGTATTTCATACCCATAGCTGAGGGTAGTTCCGGCTAAGCAAATTATATTACATACTTAAGCCGTTATGTGCTAAATTTTGGGCGTTGCCTGTGACAAATTAATTGCCGTGGATACAACCCATCGTAAACTCAGTTAAACATAAACTTTGCCGATTTTTAACACAGTTATTTTGAGTTATTTTGACCAACCATAACACATACGCAGGTCTAAAATTATTCCAACTAAATAATAACCTGTTTTATTTTCTGTAACCAATGGCAACAATTATACAAATAAAACAATGATAGTCTTTCGTGTGTCAACTGTTTTAAACAGATTTTATGACGTGTTGAAAATTAAAAGTAAGTAATAAAAAATAGCCTACATGAAACGACGAATCTAGCTGAACCAATTGACGAAATGTTTATGTAAATCAAAAAAATATCGTGAATTTGCGTAAGGTTTATCCGTTTAAAACTTTCGATGTTTTAATAAAGTAGATTTCTGTAAGACCCGACAAAAATTAACAATGAATTAGTGCTAGGGAAGCTACATTTTTTGGTGATTAAATTATATTACTAATTCATTTATTTGTGTAAGAAATACTTCAATTAGTTAATTATAACTAAATTATCTTTAACTAAATTTTTATCATTTGGTCAAGTTACATTACTTTTGAGTTTGAAAAGTAACTCAATTATAAAAAAGTTACTTTTTTTTTTTAAATATCACTTGAGCTTAATACAACCATGTTTTCAATACGACAGTACATAAATAAAATAATAATGGCAATCTACAATAATACGAAATTATTGACAGAATTATACTCATCATTTTGCCACACATTAATATTTATTTTAAACTATACACATGAGAATTTCATTCTAAAAATAACACTTTGTCGACAAATAGTCAATAACTATAACAAAAATATCAGAGTACAGAACATTTTACTCATAAATTATAATAATTGTATTATATATTTTAATATTTACATATATTATCAAAAAGATCTAAAAATGTATTAGGCCATATAGAGTAACGAGTAACTTAGTAATTTGACTAAAAAATAACTTAAATTAAATACAAATAACTTACTATACAATGTAATCAAATTACTTAAAAGGTAATATTTTAAGATATAGTTTGTTTAAACGGAGCCATTTTAAACGCGACGATTTGATACATGTTTTTATCTTATTTGCCTAAGTAAACAATGGCAACCATTTATAAACAAAAAAATTTCAATTTCCCCTGTGAATCTTAAAATCCTTGTTTGTGGACCTCTTTAAAAATGCGAATTATTTAAATTTCTGCCTTATTTTGCTCTTGCATTATAAAACGAAGCTACCAAATTTCATACTCTTAGCTTCAGCAGTTAGGTTAGGTTAAGTTAGCATTGTCAAAATCAGCTAAGGTTGTCGCTTCCAGAAATTCCCTGCAACGGTTAATCCTGTTCCAATTCCCTGGAATACCGTAAACTAACAAAAAAAAAAAAAAACAATTTTGGTGTCATATTATGCACAGTTACGTGTTGATTTATACTTTTTTTGCATAACTACATAAGTAAGTACGACAGTATTATTGTACATACATAATGTAACATATAACAATTTTAACATGTATTATAAATTATAATTGAATCATGCTAAATAACATAGGATAATTATTCATATTTAGGTGCAGTTAATGTTTTCAGCAGGAAAAATTAGTAATGTTGTTCAGAGTTAGTGCTGAAAACCTATTTTAATATTATATGGGCTATTATTCTTCTACATATTATACACTGAACAGTTAAATACCTAGTAATGAATCCATTCTGAGGTATTTTTTTGAATTCTGAGTGGAAGGAGAGAATGTAAAAAATTGTAAATGCTAATACGCAGTGTATATATTATAGCTGTAACTATAATATGGACTATTGTCTAAGGCTTCGCTTCTCCACCTTTTTAATCTTGTGACCCCTGAAACAGGTAAAAAATAAAGTCAATCACCTCACGACCCCCTTGTCGTAAATACTAATTTGAGCCTAATTATCGGTTTAACCAGTTACGAATATTAAATTGCGTATTAAGCAAATAAATAGCATACCCACACTTCATATGAAAAAGAAATGTAAACGAATGTTATATCACTAATATTGCTTTTAAATGTTAAACAAACACAGCCATCTTATCAAATTAAATTATTGAACTTTAAATTTAAAAAAAATTATAAATACAAATTGTATATTAGCGTTTAATAATTTCTGATATATGTGACCTTTTGTCACATTGCGAACCTCAGGTTGAGAAACGATGGTATAGGCCTTTTAAGGCGTTAGGTCCAAACGTCGCGGTGCTCTGAAAATCTTTCAAGAAAAATAATTCGTTAAAATACATGTCTATTTCGTACATGAATAATAATTTAAATTACCTTTCTGTGGTATCTCCCATCTTCGTCATACATAACTATTTATTTTATTTAACAGTGAGTTTTTTGAGTGTTTAAAATACTAAAGAAATAAAAAAGACTGATTTTTTCTATTCTTTTTATAAGTTTAAATAAAATAGCACTGTTAAAAGCTATACAATATTTTTTTTTTGATTAAATTGTTATTTATTGGGTATTATGTATAGGTACCATGCTCATTGATTGTTTATTTTTTTCCCTGTTGAATTCATTCCCACTGATCTAACAACAATATTGGCAGTATGCAAGTATTTACATAAACATAATATATATATTATTCAATTGTTTTTTAATTTATCTAAGCAATTTGAATATGTAAACGAAATAAGCCATTAATCTGTATGTAATGCATAAACTATAATCCGTTCAAGCAGTTTCTGTGTGATTCCCCACAAATTCCCAGAAATTTCTCATCCTTATAGTAGGTATACCAACTTTTATTTTTTTTAGATGATTCATTTCATTTTATAGTTCGAACGGGGAATAATGCAAATGAAATTGGCTGTGTACAAACTACAAACACATGAAAAAATATATCAATATTCATGTACATAATTTCTGTTGTTTGGTGATGTTGAGGAGGGAGAGAGGTAATGCCAGACTGCTATAATTCAATAAGTCTAAATGAATTATTCAATTTAAACTGCAAAATAATATTAAGATTTGAATCAGTATGATAGAGTATAATAGCTATTTTCATTCACCGTTGTTGATGAATAAATCTTAAAATTAAAATAGGGCTACTTTATTTTACAGTAGTAGTAGTTGTACCTACGTGCTTCAGCTCTTTTCAATTAACGCGTTAATTTCATAAAATCCGGTCTGAACTGAACAATAATTGTTTATCGTTTATATTTTTATTTTCGCTGTATTGTATAAACATCTAATTGGTATCATAAACTTATTATGCCAAAGTATCTCGTATATTATACCTAAATGTAAATATATATATTTATGTATGTTTTTTTTAATTTTCAGTCAACCAATTACAGTTAACTTTCAACGATCAAGTCCCTCTCTCACGGTCGAATTCGTTTAGTTCTTTCTTTGCGTAACAGTGTTCAATAATATTTTATTTATCGTGCATTTATATTTTTAATATTACTGATAGTAGGTACCTATATAAATTATATAATAACTTAGTATATATTATTTTCAGATTTTTAAATATTTCCGACAATTGTTAATCAACATCTTGATGCATTAGTACGTCTCTAGTATTAGCAAAACATCAGTTTATAATTCATTTTTTTAGTTTTCATTCATTAAGTTATTATAGCAATACGGTTTAAATGATTTTATTTCACGCGAGTTAAGTGACTGGAATTAATAAAATGACAAATACCTCGTTGTTTAAAATAAGAAACCTGAAAGGATTTAGTGCTATTCATGGTAAAAAAATGTAAGTACTAAAATAATTGCAATTACCTATTTGTATTATTTATTATCGTCGATGTACAAAATAAATGCAAAATATTATTATTTATTTTGTATATAATTTTGTACAATATACGTTTCAAAGTTTAAACATTTAAAAAACGGTTTGTTATTAATATATCTATTAGTATCGCGGACTTAATGATTTATTATTAACTATATACCAATAAATATATTTTTATGTTTTTTTGTAATTACAATATAAATTCAAATGGTGCAACTGCACTGCAATTCAAAATAATACCTATGGTAAAATACGAAAAGTTGACAATCAGCAATAGATTTTCTTACGCATAACTGGGCATTTCGCGTTTTCTATTTTAATTACATACACAAAAACGAATATCAAGCTGCGGAATTAAAGTGTAATAAAGACTGTAGAGGGTAGGTCACTTGTCACGCGTTCGCCCTCCGATATTTTCTAACCCCTTGGCCATTTTATTCGGCTAAAAAAACCCGGGGAAGTATATATAAGAACTAAATAAATATACATTTATATACACATATATATGTATAAACCGGGTTTAGCACGCAACTAGGTCATTTTCGCACGATTGACCATGAGTCATGACCTACAGAGCTTCTGTTTTCTGTGTATAATACGGCATACGGCGTATTCCAAGCGATGATATAATATAATGAATGAAAACAACTTTGGTTTTTAAACGGTTAAATAAATAACACTTGCAATATAATTAGGTGTATCTAACATATTAGGTAGGTGCCTATAGGTTATAAAATGATAAACAATAACAACATTAATTCTAAGAATGATTTGAGAACAATAACAATAATTATTATTTATTATACCTGTATAGTATAATCGTTGATATATATATATATAGTTTAGAATTTATTATATTATACGCATGCTAAACAATATTATGTCGTTTGTGTGAACTGTATCTGTGTAGTCTTCGGAAGAAAAATACCATGTCGAGTACATATAGTGATATTTACTGCGGAATGCGCTAGTGCGGTACAGTGATACGTATTGTAGTTTATTGAAATATTTCAGAAAATTTCTTCTTACCCATATATTATTACAAGACGTGTTTATTAAAGCTATTACTCCTAAACACGTATAAGTTCGTATAACACAATATTATTATGATCTTGTAATAATATCGCACAATCACGATAAATTATATGCATCAATTTATTGGCCGCTTGCGTTTTTCCTCAGTTATCAAAGATTTTCGAGGAATAATCACTGGTCGAAGTACAGCTACGCCTGTGGGGCCTCGAGTGATCCGCTCAAAGCTTATACGATCGGAGGAATTTTCAATGACGCCGTGCAACAGACTCCGGACCGAGAGTTTTTGGTCAGTCGACACGAGAACAAGCGATACACTTTCGCCGCCATGGATTCCGAGGTCAGCGAAAACTAAAAAATACGATTTTTACCATCGGTTTCGCCGTAATCGACAGTACACAACATTGTTGTACCTATTATGATTTGTCCTATACATTTTTATCATTACACTCGATGTGTACGATAATTAGTAATATTATATTACTGCACGCAACACGCAGAAAAATATGTACTTGTATCGCAATAGGTACCGTAAACCTGCACGCAAATTGATATTCATATTTTTGTCCGCAGGTGGATAAGCTGTGTAAGAGCTTTAATGCCATTGGCCTCAAGCACGGTGACCGAGTCGGAATATGGATGCCCAATTGTGCGTTTTACTATACGGTGATTATCGCCACAGCTCGTCTGGGACTGATTTTGGTAAGTATTCATCGATTTTCGCCATTGTTTTATTAACTGTAACTCAATTAAAAATTAATGTTTATAATGTTAGTATTAAAAAAAAAATCTCTGTTGCTAGTATACTGTTCTGCAGTGTCTTACTGTATTTTTTATAATATTTTTAATTTTCTATAAATCAATTGTTTTTTTAAACAAAATTTCCAGTAGATCCTGTGGTTTTACCAAGTTGTAAGGGTTTTTTTGTTTGTAGAGGTTTTGATATCGGTGCATGGCTTTGAGGTAGGTATACTGATTATTGTGGTAGGTACCTATTTATAATTGTTTTTCTGATTTTGATCTCATAATATTATAATATTATCATAACCCGTGTTTTCAAAATTCTATTAAAGGATACAAATTCGTAATTAAAAAAACTGAGCAAACCGTTATTATATAATTACATTACCGTATTATTGTCGAGGATGAAGGTGATATTATAGTGCTAAAGTCGACGTATATGTATATTATAATTGTAGGTAAACGTCAATCCAGCTTATCAGAGCGACGAACTGAAACACAGCTTAACACTGGCTAAAGTGAAGTGTCTGGTGACCTTAGAGAAGTTCAAGACCCAAAACTATCCGGAAATATTGGAGAAGGTCGATCCGGACATTTGGAAGCGACCGCCCAATACACAGGTTAAGTCAAAAACGTTGCCCACGCTGGAATCGGTTATTTTTGACTCAGAAAACTGTTTAAAGTTAGCAATTTCATATTATTAAATTTAACCTATATTCGTCTTAAATATTTAATGAAGCTGAAAGTAATTTAATCGCAATAATTAATATCATCATAACTTATGTTACAGCGGTGCCTTTAATTTACAAACGTTCTTTGACCTGGGTTCCAATACAAATTATAGTATCCCTAAAGTACAACCAGACGAGGGATGTAATATTCAGTTTACTTCAGTGAGTAAAACAAGGAACTGTTACATTATATTATATGCTATAATATTAACTTTTTTAATAAATATAATATCTGATTGATCCATTTTATTTCAAACACAACGTTTAACTTCAACAATCAGACTCTCCATTCAGGAGCGTTCGGAGTGGAACTTTTTTGGCAATGAGCATAGGTATTTTTTACTAACCAACACATGATGTTAACATAAATTCTCAAGGTTGAAATTAATTTTTTTATTTTCTATATCAACGCCTGGCTGCAATTTCACTAATTTCACTTAATACATAAAGATAACATATATAACATATATATTGCATAATTTATTAGCAGAAAATGAGTAATTTACATAAGAATTAAAAAAAATAATAATTCTAATGGTAGGTACGAAATTAAGATTTTCATCTATGATATTATGGTTAACTTTGAGACTTTAAGTCTAAAACATTGGTTTCTAAATGAATAAGGCACATTATTCTCTGTATATGATTATTACATAAGTAATTTGTTGAACGAGTACTGGGTTAAAATGTATGCCTAGTTCGTGACTCAATTCTGGGTACGTGAAATACGATTTTATTTAATATACGCTAAAGCATAAATTTCGCTATTGACCAGATTGTTTATGAATCGTATATCCAATACTTTCCTTCTGGTATCAAGGCAAACTAAATTCAACACTTCAGAAACTATAGTGTGTAGTCATGATATGGGTGGTTAATTTTAAGACATAACCAGTAAAAGAAAAAAACCGTTTTTGGATATTTTTAATTCGTTCAATGTTTTCCGAGTATAAAGAGACCATACTACCATACTATATCATCCACCAAGCGAGTCCGCAAGAAGGGGGAGTAGGAGCAGTTGCCTCTTCCCTTGGCTTTTTCTGGGTCAATTATCATAATCAATATTTGAGCTCTGATTTTAATGCCCTACAATTTTGAATAATGCACTAAAAAATTAACCAGGTTTTTATTTTTAATAATTCTGATGTAAATTGTAATTTAAATTTGGCATAAATGATAGGTAATATACATTTAAAAATCATTGTAAAAAAGTTTTACAAATAGAGCTTTGGAGTTTTGGACTTCTGTAATCTAGAAAAACAATTATTTCAATACATTATTATTATTTTTCCAAAGGTTAAATATATGGCAGTTATAGGTTAAATCACTTATATGTATATAAAAATCGTATCAAAGAATTTAAAATATCAAAATAATATTTAAACTCAAACTTTTGATTCTAAAACTTCAAAAATACGCCGACACTCTTGAATTTCTATAAAAATGAAACAAATTGCCTTAACATTTAAAATCTATAAAAAAGCAAAATAAAAACTTCTCCTTCTGATTCAAAAATATATGAAACTTGTGCTTAACTATGTTATAAAACGAGCACCACGTAGCTGGATTCTAAGAACAAATTAAAAGTTCATAGAAATCTCAATTTCAATCATTTTGAAATATAAAACATCTCAGAGCGATTTTTATTTCACTCGGTTATGAAGGTCAGAACCTAGAACTACGTTCCTTTTATAGGTGTAGGCATCATGTAGTAGTTGAACCAAGTGTAGTGTCAATCAAGTTTATTTTATGTTCATAGATTGCACACAATGGTTTTAAGTTTGGTATTAATGGCTAAATAAGCTAGAAGCATTTAATTGTATAAATAAACTAAAATTATCAAATCATTGGTCTCGTTTTATTTATTAAATAATAATCAGTGGCGTAGCCAGGGGGGAGGCTGAGGGGGCTGCAGCCCCCCCCCCCCGAAAAAATCCTGGCTACGCCAATGAAATAATTGCATTTGTTAATCAAAACATTATATATATCGACGTATTAAAAGTATTGCTGTACAATTAAATTTTGACTGGTTATTTACATAAAATGCATTCATAATTTTTGCACTCCCTACCTATCCGTAAGAAAAAATGTCACAAACAATACTTTATCACTAAATAGAGAGAGCATAATTATTTTTAGGGTACCACTGGAAAGCCAAAAGCAGCATTGTTGAATCACTTTGGGCTAATTAACAACGCTTACTTTATCATGAAGCGTTTAGGGATCTACAATGATGTCAAAAAAGTAATTATTAGAAATATTTTACAAACGATTTATATTATATTATAATGACTTATCTATCTGACACTATGAGTAATCAGTATTAAATACGTTTAGGGTCAATTACATAAATTCTGCTGTCCAATGCCTCTATTTCATACTTTTGCTTTATCCATCGCCGTCGTTGCACCATTGGTTACCAAATCAGCAGTTTATTTACCGTCAGCCCATTTTGATCCAAAAGCTACGGTCGATGTTCTTACGAAAGAAAAGTAAACTGATGCTTTACATTTTTTTATATAATATATGGTAAATTTAAAATTGTCATTGTCCTAATAGATTTTTTAACAAATTATGTTATTCATAATATTTATAGAATATTAAATTTACTACATATGTACATATTATATAATATCTTATATTGGTTTGGTGTTTCGTATGCTCAATCTATGGAAACGCTCTGAGCGTACCTAGTACTTACCGACATGCGTTGCTAGCTCCCGGATGGGTGAGCATCGAGGAATTTCAGCAACGAAATCCTTGCTACACATACATGCGTGTTCCAACCACCCCCTCCCCACACAATACAGGCCAATGACCTTTGTAGTTGAATCCTTAATTCTAAAAAATAAAAGTAAAATATATATTTAAGTGTTATAATTATTGTAATTAATGTTAGTAATTTTTATGACAGATTAAATTGTTATAGAACGTGTTAAGTGTACAGTCGCAATTATTTACAAAAATCATAAAAAAACGGTTACATTATGTATATTTATGCATTATTCATATTTGTATACGTTATAATATATGTAGGTACAAGCAAAAAATCTAAACAAAAAATAATAAATAATAAATAAAATACTTATTCTAGAAATAAATACATAAATGAAGTACCCAACCAGTATAAATAATGGGTAACTTTTTTTTTTCGTTTAAACCGACAGCAGAGAAGGCTCTGTGTGAACAATATACTACTCCTCTGCTGCCATTGTTTATTAATGTTTACAGTAGGTACACTCGTGGCCGTGTTTACAATTTTTGCGCCCTGGGTCAACCTTAATTTTACGTCCATCCCCCCCACCAAAAAATAGATCCACTTTTTTATTTTTCTTAACACGTTTTTAGTTATAATTCTATATGGTTAAGTCACGGTTGGCTATCTACAACTGTGGTTATGTTAAAATAATATTAATTATATTCTATGCTAGCACTTATCCGTTATCGTTGAACTGCTAAGTTCACAAGGGTCTACAAATTATTTCCAAAAAAAAAATTTATTTATACAATACTACACAGGGTTACAGCGGTACCTGCCCCCCCCCCCCTAAATATGTCAATATTTGGCCGACCGGTGCAAATGTCCCCATTGCATCCCCCTAAATACGGCCCTGCGTACACTAATACAGATAGGTACAATAGGTACATACTATTATAAATACATTATGGTTGCTATAAAAATAATGAAAAAATTGAATACTTACTTATTATTATAGGTGTACATTTATATTTGGTACGCCGACAATACACGTGGACACCATGTCTGCTTTCGAAAAACTTCCACCAGAGCAACAAGATAACGACATGAAGATCGCAATCACCGGTGGTGCTCCATGTTCTCCGATTTTGATGTCCAAGTTCAAGAACATGTTTCCACGCGCTAAAATATTGGTACTTCTTTAAAATCGATTAGAATAACTTTTTCTTTTATTCAGAATTTGTCGTGACTCGTGGCCATTTAGCCTCAACAATTGAAACGGTTTAACTTATATAATTAAATGCAATTCATTTGTTTGACTAATTGTATTCGTTTTATAGAGTTTATTTGGGATGACTGAAACGAGTCCCAGTTCGTTTCAAAATTTGTCAAACGATTCAGATGAACGAATACAATCGACAATGGGTTTCATACAGGATCACGTGGAGGTCAGTATGATTCTCAAAAATGTAATAAAACATAATATGATATAGACACGTGAGAGAAGAGGAACTATAATATTAATAATGAATTAACCTTGTTCGGGAAAGCGCTTGTCTTACATTTTAGTTATCTGCTGTAATCTACTGTCAGTCCAACCTAATAAAAATAATTAATTAGGTACCTATTTTAAATTTCGTTCAGGAAGTTGTTTTTTTTAGATTTATAGAATATCATAGGATGTCAGTGCAATATTTATTTTTTCTCTCAGACCCACGATAAATAACAACATGGATAAAACGCTTTCACTTCAAATAGGTTTTATGATTTTTGTGTAATCTTAGAGTAAAATCACCTATTAATCATTATAGATTATAATATTTTTGAGGATATGACTTACATTATCGGTTTTATATTTTATTATTATTTGAGTAAGTATTCGACTTTGACCGCGTGTGTTGTAAATTTCTAGGCTAAAGTTGTTGATGCTAATGGCGATATGGTACCTTTCGGAACACCCGGGGAATTGTTGATTCGTGGATACCTAAATATGAATGGTTACTTTAACGACGAAGAGAAGACAAAAGAAACAATTGATTCGAAAGGGTGGCTACACACGGGGTAAGCTATACTTTCTATTCAAACAGGGTGACTCTTTTGTCGTGTAAGCCCAACGATATTACCTGTGGCTCTCAACAAAAGAATCAATTTGCAGTACATAATATACGTTTAATTGAATTGTATACATATATGTGTTGATGTGCTGCAAGGTAAGGCAGTAATTAGTATGATATAATACTACGACGTTTATATTGTTTATGGCTTTATTTAGGGATCAATTCGTTTTGTACGAAGACGGGTATGGCAATCACGTTGGCAGATTGAAAGAAATGATTATCCGTGGTGGTGAAAACCTATTTCCCAAAGAGATAGAATATTTTTTGGAGTCTCATCCTTCGATTTCACAAGTTCAAGTAATAATACATACATAGATCTAGTGTTAAGTATAATATATTATACATACGTATACAATGTACAATATGGGAAAATTCCAATATTAAACTACTTGAAATAGGTGTCATCAATTATTACATGTACTTTAATTATATAATTATAAATTTTACGTTTTTGTGTCTGTCATCACCTTTTAGAACAGTAAATATGCTTCCATTTTAAACTTTTATGGTTGTTTTTGGTAGCAAATCGGATGTATAAATAGATCATAGATACCAGTTGGTACTATTTGGGCTGTCGAAAGTAGAAAATTCCAAGTGATTTAAAATTAATTGTGAACAACAGAAAAATAATTAAGGAAAAACGGGAAGTTGTACGGAAAACCAGTATAGTTGGGAAAATTGATTTCGTTTTTAAATCCAAAATTTTTATAATTCATAATTGAAAAATAAGTTCACCTAAAAATTCACTTTGTTCCCAGTTTATAAGAGAAGTATACTTACTATAAACTTTTTTTTTTTAATTTTACCAATCTAAGTGAACTTTCTTTCCAAAACAACTATCGAAATTGAAAAACTAAGCATTTTTACTGATTTAAAAAGTGAAGACAGACACAATAAAAAAAAGCGGGTAAGTGGATTTCGCTCTGCTGTACATTAGGTGTCTAAGAGGCCGCTGTAATAGATAGTATTAAATTTGAATTCAATAATACTAAATCATTGTATACGAAAAACGATTCTGTGTGGAGACGGTATGTTAGTTTAGGATATTTTAAAATGTTATTACTTATTAGTTATTATTAATATGGTAGCCGGTAAGTTGAATTAATATTTAATATTATTCTTAAATTATTGGTGATGCTGGAAAAATATGAAATATACCTATGTAAAATTGGGTTGTTGTGGAACCGAATTGCAACAAAATGATAACCTATATTCTTTGTGTTTATATGCAATTTTGTCCAAATTTGAATTTAAAATGTCTGTAAAAAATAACTGTATTCATATATTTTTTAAATTTCATAGAAATGGAAAAAAGTGCTCAAGTGGAACCTTGTTTTAAATTTTCAATCCTCAGCTATAAAAATTGAACACTTTATATATTTTTAACTAAAAAATTATTTTCAATTTTCAACTTCATAAATATTGTCATAATTTAAACTTAAAATGCTTATAAAAAAAGTGACTATGTATTTTTAATATTTTTCAACTGCTATTGTAACAAGTTATCAAGTTCCTTGTCAGGGGCGCCGGAACAATGGGGGCAGTGGGGGCAATTGCCCCCACAAAATAAATACTGTAGGGGCAAGGCCCCCACGACTTCATGGCCTAATTATATTTACATTTAACCCACTATACCTAAATATTATTCTATAATTTTGTTCAGCAAGTAATATATTATATCTATTAGTAATTTAAAATACTAAGAATACACATTGCACCGAGGCTCTGAGAGATTGGAAAAATAACCGGGAAAATCCAAGAAATNTTAATAAATTTTTATACCTACATGATTTGAATTTGTTTAATAAATATTTGTAAGAAAAAAATTTAATTATACCTTCCTTATTATTATTAATTATACCTATTCCCAGCATAGGTGGTGTAAAAATTGGGGAGAGGTGAAGATTAAGCACCAAAAATTAAACAACACTATTTTTGCTCTTATGCCCTCTAGAATAAAGCTTAAAATATTTTGCCCCCACAGCAAAAAAATCGTTCCGGCGCCCCTGTTCCTTGTATTAAATTTTCATGCTTTTTGGCCCAACCAATAACATTTTATTAACATTTATTTTATAGAAAAAAAGGATTATGGAAATATCCGTCAACAGCCTAAAATGTGTCAGAATATTTTGAAAATTGTATCAAGTATACGAATTTACGAAATAAACATTTGGTGTAAATTGCAAGCGTTTACAGAAATATTCGTTTTTGAATTACAACAAAATAAGAAAATCGAGTGAATATCCAATGTTGTAAAAACGTCAACTTCAAACGCTCATAAAAATTTAATTCAACTTTCCGGTAGAAATTTTTTTTTTTTGATAAAAGTAGAAAAACTTATCAGGAATCTTGTATTAAATTTTAAAATCTTAGATATAAATACAAAAGTTGTTGGGAATTTTAAATTTTGACCTCCCAAATGCATCAACTAAATTCACTTTCCTACCAAAAAAGCTGCTATTGAAGAAAATCGAAGCACTTTTACTGCAAGGAACCGTGATGACAAACTAAAAAAAAAAAAAATTAATAAATATAAAAACACACATCATTGTTCAATCAATAAATTCATCGCTCCGCTCAGAATCTAAAATCATTATTAAATGACTGTATGTCTGTATTCATGGCTCCTCGCAGGATCTAAAATTGAGGAAATTCGACATTCACTTGTAAAATAATGATTTTTCATCAAACTATTTTACTGTTGAAAATCAAAAGTTAATAACCATAAATAGATAAAAGTACCAACAAATGCGATTTTCTGTTTTTTCTATAAATGTAGTTATCAAAAAAAATATATTAGACACGTCATGGGAAAAAATTTTTTAGTAAGAATTTGTTTAAATTTTGATAAAATTTATCAAATCGCGATTTTTTGCAAATTATTTTGTAGCTATAATAAGTACTATAATAGTATAATACAGTATAAAGTTGTATGAAATGTACATTTTTTTTTTCGTTTTTGTTTATGTAATATTAAAGATAGTTGGAAGTATATATCATTTTATTAAATACCCATCAGTAATAATAACTGATGGTATTCTACCTATTGTGATTCTATTACAGTTTAATTTTAGTATCATATCATTCACTAATATCCCCACACTATGATAGCTGTAATAGTCTTATAGTTAGGCCATTGTCGGCATAAGCTTAAGATTTTTGAGTTTCAATAAAATATGTGATATGTTTATTATTCATTCAAATTTTCAATACACATATGACAATAATAGGGTTTTTGATCCTAATGGAGTAAAAGGTGATCAATTTCATGAACTAGTTTTTTATTTGAATTCAATTTATATTGACAACATAATATAATATTATAATAATATGATCTTAATGTAGATATAAATACCTATTGACAAATTCAAGTAAATGTTTATTAACTATATTTCATTCATCTACAATCATTGAGTGTTTTTCCTCAGCTCTACATAGTACTTACACATAATATTGAATGTTCTTTGTAGAAATAAAATTTTAAAGTTTTGATTTTTAACTCGTTACATTGTACATGATCGATTATTATTAAATTCCATATTGTCGTAATGTCAGCTGTTGTGTTCAAAATCATTACTCGTACTCTAAAAATTCATACCGTATGAATACTTTCATTATTATTGTATTTAAATAATATTATTTTAACTCATATTTTGCAAGCACAATAGATAGATAATCGCTTTTTATCGCAGGTATACGGTATACCCGACGAACGGATGGGTGAAGAAGTGTGTGCCAGCGTCATCGTCAAAGAAGGGGCTACAGTCACCGAAGCCGACATAAAAGCGTACAGCAAAGGAAAGGTTTGTTTTGAGACTGCTGCTCGTTTAGGCTTGTTAGAGCCACAGGGGTATAATGCTCTACGATTTCTTATATTTTATTTATTTTTCTTTTATCAGATCGCCCATTTCAAGATCCCCAAACACATATTCATCGAAAAGGACGCGTTCCCGATGACGGCTTCAGGCAAAGTGCAGAAGTATAGATTAAGAGAAATGGCGATACAACGGATTTCGAGCCTTACCTAATAATTGTATAATACAAATGTGTGATAATTTGTGTTTTTAATTATTTAATCGTATTATCGTTGTATGTGCTCGAAGCCCTAGAGGTTGATATTTTTGTAACTATTCGCTTCAACGTTGGTTTTCACTCACTCACCATCTTAGGGATAGTTAAGTAATAAAACTAAATGATAGACAAAATTAGAGTTTAAGTTTTCAGAGATGAATTTGAATTAAATTTAAAATTACTCGATGTAAACAAATATTAAATCCATTAACAATCATAAGTTAAATAAAATGTTACAAGTTTTAATCGTATTTAGTCCAAATCTTTTAAACACCCGTGACAACAAGCCCCTCATAGCAAAAACTAACGTTATGTGTTATCAGTTATCACTACAGTTGAAAGTTTTTTACACATCAAAATATTATACTTTGCAATACACTAGTTATTTGTCAAGTTAACACATTACTACGTTAGCCATAGGCGTGTTTACGGGAGGGGCCGGGCGAGCACTGCCGCCTCCCCCTCGGCAGACTTCGCCTCCAACAAAATCATGATGGGATAAATTTTTCTTTATTATGTATCTGTTTTTAATTTAGTCTTAAATGTATTTTTATTGTTTTGACAATGGTTATACTTTTTGATCACAATTAAATAAATATTCCTACCATTGTGAATTTTGTAACCTAAAAAATGAATGTTTCTTCATGTCTAAAAAAAAAAATGGGTCTCGCAATTAAAAAATTTGTTGTGCCCCTTCGGCCATCGAAGTCTGAACACGCCTATGACGTTAGGTATAACATTATATAAGTGACAAAATATTTAATGTACCTGTTTACGCGAAAAATTACTCACAGACTTAATATTCAGTCTTTTTTCTTGAAATTTCTCATTGGACTAAAATTGGCTAATACTCGTAGCCGTGCTAAAAACAATAATGTGCAGTAAGTAAAATTGTATACCAAACATAAATACCGCCAGCTGATTTCTTAGTTATTAACGTTGTAACAGGCTTACATCTGCAAATGTAAAAGTTCCTCAACGAGTAAATACAAGAATTCAACGACAGTAAATGTTACTCATTGAATATACCATGTGTTAGCGAAAACAGGGTGCTCTATATAATTAAATTACTCATATTAAGCAGCACTCTATACATATTTTTGATATCTGACAAACCCCTGACACCTCCACCCCTCTCCCCAAACAATTATTCTTAAAATTCATTTTATGGTTTAGAAACAAATATTAAGTAGGAGGTACTGTGTAACTACCCATATTATTAAATAGTATAGAGAAATTTTCTACATACGGGTTCAATAATAAACTTTTATAAAATTTATGGCACATATTTTATATTTGATGATCAATAAATAATAATTAATAATTAACGAATAATTGTATGACTTTTGGAATGCGTCTATTGCTATAGGATTGACGTGTTCGTGAGTATTATACAATAAGGAAAAATAAAATAAATGTATTGTTAGATTATCTGGTAGGTGAGGGGAGGGGGTGGAATTATACCTTTATCATCTTATAAAAATGTCAAGGGGGCAAGTTCCCCCCGTGCCATCACTGTAATTACGCTATTGATGTGGCATAATATACGATTCTTATAATTATATCGTTATAACATTTAACTATTATAAAAATATGACACTGCAAATACAAATTTGGATTATTATTAACGGGTCTGCAAGTGACCTGTTTTTTTGCTCAAAATCATGGCTTACAGGAAAAACTTTCAAGCGTTGTGGAATGATACGATTTCGATATTTTTGTTTTTTGAAAGAAAAAACTTTTTAGGTAAGGTGCATTGGACTTAGATTTTTAAAATTCTATTTCTAAACCATATATAATACGATTTCGAATACGACCAACTTTTATAAGTTTTTGTTATTTTTATTATGTCTGTTTTAAGCAATGAAATTAATAATCGAAGTCCTGCATGGTCTCTGTTGAAAATCAGACGAAATAAAAATTAATCAAATCTGACCACTCTACAATGCGTGAGAGCTTTTTCTGTGAACCGTGTTTGGAGCAAATAATCATGCTTTTCAATATTTTGATCGGTGGTGCACTGGTGCCACTTGCACTTTGACATGCGTAGATAGCATAGTACCAGCACACAATCAAGCTCACACTAATCACTGTTGATGACTAACACAAATTCCGTGGGCGGCAGAACGAAATTGCATATTGCCCCTTAATATAGACACACGAATAAATTTAATCGATATTATATTTTACATACTAAAGAGATACCTACGAATTATTGAATTAAAACCAATTTTACCGATTGAATGCATTCATAATTAATATTATGTTTATTTATGTAAAGCAATAGGTACAATCGGCAATAAATTATAGATTTATCAGTTATTTTTCGCAGTCTGTCTACTACTATTATTCTGGCGTTACTCAAACGTATGTAGTGAATAATTATATAAATAATATGTTTGATCAGTATGACTGTACCTAGAGTATCTATAATAAGTCGGCGGGTACAACTAATAAATAATTAAAATTGTAGTGCCTAGTAATTTATAGCATATTTTAGTAAACTAACCATAGGCACTAGGCAGTTATATAACAATTTAAGACCTTCACGAATAAATACCTTTCAATAATAAATAATAATAACAACAGCTTGTTTATTGGACACAAAAATAAATAATTTATATAATATAACATTATATAAGACTAACAAACAATAATCCGTATAAATGTATATTTTATGGGTATATCTGATTATTCTTCATTCTCCAATATGGGGTATCCCTCAGCACTTTTATTTGATTGTTTGATTATTTTTATTTTTAATTATAGGGCTATCAAATTTTAATCAATTTAATGTTTTTTGTAAGACTACAACATCATAGGTACAAATCTATGAAATTCATAAATAATAGGTATATTATGTTTATCGGAAGTAAAAAAAATGTTCATTGTTTATGTCTTATTAAATAATATCATTTTTTTAATAAAATAATAATATTATATCTCATAAAAAGTTGAGCTACAAACATTTAAAATTACGGAACAACATAATAGTCCTAAATGACAAATGTACATTATATTATTCTTATTACACTCTAAAAGAAATGTAAATTTTAAACCATCAAATTAACCTTCCTACAATATTGCTACAGGTCTCTAATAATATATAATATTATAATATGCGTTACACTATAAACTATTATAGTATACACTTAAATAAATGCTGTGATATCAATCCTATTCCTAAATGTAAATTCTAATAGTATTCCTATACCTTGGACGTTGTCGAACGATCGGAGTATTTCATTGCCTTTCAACAATCTAGTGTCAAGTGTGACAAAATAATAAAAAATATTCGTTATTTTAAATTATATCGTTTTCATGCATTCATTAATTTATAATAATAAATGCTGTAGCATTGTAGCAATAATATATATTTCAATAAAAAGACGTGTTTTGCAAAGTCTTTTTTCATGAAGTATTTATTGTTCATTAGTATAATATTATAGTTCAATAATTAGTTGTTCGAAAAAATATGTTGATTTCAAGGTGAAAACCGTTCCCCATTGACGTTACTCAATGATAAACCTATTATTAACGTCTAAAAAACCATTTGATTAAATTTATTTAAAAAAATTAACATTGTGTTATATCACTGGATGGCCTCTCTCCTAAAGTGTTTTATGTAGTAAAATTATTAATAATATGTTGAAATTTGTATATTATGGCATGTAGCAACAATGATAAATATTGTTTTAAAAAAAAACATCTTTTCAGTCAAAACGGCATGGTAAATCGATTAAAACTTGAATAACTTGCCTATCATATTATTAATTGTTATGCAAGAGCCTAATAATTAAGGAATTTATTTTTTTTTATAAATATTCGTTCCTCACATTTTTTGTGGGCACATTGAGAATATTATATAAATTCATAGATTCATAGATATAAATAGGGCGCACTTCCATATTATCATTATATTAAGAACGAAATTTCATTTAATTTTTTTAGTAAAAAAATCTTTTATTTTTTATCAAATTACAGTTATTGGTTGGCAGAAGCTAGTTAATTTGTTTAAATTTTACAAACACTTTGAAAATTTACATAACAATATGAAAAATAAAACCATACATACATAATTAAGTACATGACTTTTAGTTTGATACAAAAATTAATTATTATAAGATTTGCAATTTTATTTTCCAAGATATTCTCTGACTTGCTTCCAAGAAAATATCATTATATTTTTTTCTCAAGCCAACGGATGAAATATACACTACATCTTACATTATAATGTGAAGCTATTAAATACCAATGTTTACTTATTGACTCGTACCTATACACTTCCCAACAGTCCTTCCTGTCCAGTGACAGTGCATACACATAGGAGCAATTTGGGGGGTGCTTTTTTTTAACAGCGACACAGTAAAAGTGCATTTTGAAAAAAAGAAAATCCATTTGGTACTGTTTACGCATTAAACATATTGTTGAACAAATCGAAAATCTATTCCCTAAATAAGTAAAATTAGAAAAATATAGTGACGTATAACCGGCAATTGCTAATACTTACGCTACGAATTTCCAAGAATCTTAGCCGTAGTTTATATTTATAATTATTATTTACACAAAGTGTTCGAATCATACTAATGATCACACACACAGCATTTCCGGTGCACATTGAACACCGCCTAAATCAATCCCTTATTAACAGGATGTCACACCCGCATGTGTTGTCTCCGTCTTACAAAATATGTACAACATAGCAAAAACTGTTCTGCGTGGGACGATTTTTCTCGCACCATATTTGTTGTAGAACCACCAAATTTTCACAACACGTAAACAAAAATTTTATCTGTGCAACAGCGTGCTTTTTTCAATTACACTATCCAATCATTTTTTATAAGCAAATGAAAAAAAAAACAAAAAAATAAAATGTCTAGAAGCAAATCACTTTTATTGTGTTTATTTTATCTAAAATATAGGCACGCTGTTGCATAGATAATTTTCTACTCTATATATGTTCAGAAATTTTGGAGCCACTACTACAAACACAGAAAGTTAAAAGTTGTAACAGTTTTTGCTAGCACCAAATATATTTTAGCTGATATGGAATAATTTATATATACTTATTAAAATATATGCAAATATATTGTAGACGACTAGACGAAACTTATTTCGTTCGTTCTCGATAAGCTAAAAAACTTAGATAAACCTATTTTGAATTTGCCGTCTACATAATTACATAAAAAATCTCAAGGAAATGTTCATAATACAAACAGTCACCTTGCGTCTACACTATGCCCGGGAAAATACCGAAAATTAGAATGTTATATTATAATAAAATAGCATATCTATTAGGCAAGTACTTGGTCTATGATGATGCACCGGAAACCTGAGCGGTAAAATAAAAAATATGCTAGTGGCGCAGTCTGTTCAGACGGTTTATGGGAATTTATTATGTTTGAACTAAAAAATAATTTTATCGAAATAAATTATTTATATTGTTTTTATCACTTTTTAATGCATTTATTTAAACATTAATTCATTTTTGTATGGATTTATCTATTTGATTTGTGACTTTAAATTAGAGTCATATAGGTATATGTATAATATAGTCTACACAAAATAATTCAAATCATATTATGTACCTACTGACATCATTTATATTTTGGGGTATAGTGGTTAGTGGTATCGTAATAAAACTACCTTTTTGCTATTTTTTTGTGCGGTTATTCACAGTGGTATTCTATTGACATCTTCGACACTTGAACATATTGATAGCACTGTACATTTAGGTTTTCATTGTTCTCAGTGGCGGTCAAACGGGGGGGGGGAGGAGATGAGGGGAATAAATCCCCCCCATGACTTTTTTTCTTTAATATTTGTAACGATTACATTTATGTATATTCTTCTATAATGTTAATGTATTACATTTTGTTTTAATTTTTTCTCAAAATGACTTTATGACTTATGATCATATATTATTATTATATAGATTCTAGAGTTCTAGACTAATTCTAGGAACAAGGCTGTTATTATTATTAATATTTATTAATTAGTTGCTTATACAAGATACACGGGAATTACCCAGCTCGGTGATCGTGAATATTTAATAATAACACATTCCTCCCTTGACCAGCCTATCGGCCGAAACGTATTAATACGTTATGTATAAATAGCCATGTTATTATAGTCGGCCAATTCATCGATTATTATTACATTTGTCCCAATATTTTGTTACACAGACCACAGTGTTTTGACTTTCGTAATTCGTACTTGTTACTCGGGTCTCGTAAGTCATACTGTGTCGCGCTTTATACTTACCGTCTGCAAGTCTGCAGTAATTGTAAATTGTAATAGATATTGTCTATAGTATATTTTATAATGTCTAATAAAAGAAAAATTACCACCTATTTTACTTGCTCAACCACTAAACACTCGGACTCGGATGAAAAAAATAGTAAGATCCCTAAGATCATTATAGAAAATGAAGTTGTGCCGGTAATATTTGTTTAACTAATTAATGTAAAATGTTTAATTTATGAGGGAAATGGGAATATTAATTCAAATTACCTATTATATTAGGCTGTTGATTTCAGTGTCC